TCTCAATAAAATTCTTGGGTGTTCACCAAATTTGAGCTTCTTCACACCACCCTTCAGCTAATGGATTACTTGAGAGATTCCATCGTTCACTTACACAACCGTTAATATACCATATTATCCCAACTGTACACCTCAGTCTTTGAGCAACATACAAAGAAGATCTGAGAGGAACATGCTCAGAAATGGCTTATTGAACAACTATTCATCTCCAATGCAGAATTTTTGCAACCCAAGTTTCTAATTCTTCTCATTCAATTTCATTTCTACAGAAGTTTTGTGAGGCAATGAGAGAGATAGCACCAGTACCATGTTAATAAAAAGTATTTCGCGCACTCACATATTTGTGAGACATGATTCAGTTAAGACCACCCAACTCGCTCATATGACGAACCATTTAAAGTAATAAAAATTTTACCCTTCTTAGTCGAGGTAAAGAACCCGTGAACAGCATTGATCGCTTCAAATCAGCATTATTAGTTTCAGATACTGTAGCATTGGTTCCTGTTCCTAAGCAGACTCCTACATTAAAACGGAATGCCACTATACCCCCAGAAGAAGAAACAATTTCCCTAGATATCTCTGACCCCTCGTGCGTTTGGCATGTGTTTAAGGGGGTATTGTGGCAGACTATTTACATTTTTGACATTTGCATGCAGTGTCCATGTTCACTGCACTGTACCCACGCGCACTCATTAGAGTGGGAGCCATAAGGATTTAAACGTTTCCCCGAGCAATTCTCTTACAATTGTACATCACTGTTCCTGTTTACGTGTGGTCGACATTTGGTGCCGGCTTATCATCATGTACACTCATGGACAAAAAAATTAGCGCACCAAGAAATAATTGCGGGATCGTAATGAAACTTGCAATGAAGGTACATGTCGGGGAGATATGAAAATGATTAGAAATGCAGCATGATTGCGCATTACATATAGCAGGTAGAGGGCACTGAACGTCGTACTCTATCGAGTATAAAACAGGTAACCAAAGCTTGTTTGAGTGTGCTGAATCATTTACAAAGAAAGAGCTGAGGTAGACATGCCATTATGCTGTGTTCGAAGACAATATGAGAAGTTGTCGCAGTTTGAGAGGGGGAGAATCGTCGGGATGATGGAAGCTGGGTAGCCAGCTAGGCGAGTAGCTCATCAATTAGGCTGCTCTGATTGTGCTGTGAGGAGGTGTTGGGACCAGTGGACCCGAGAGATGTCATGCACACGAAGACCAGGCTCAGGACACCCTCGACAGACCAGTCATCGAGAAGAACGCCACATCGTAAGAAATGCACGCGTACAGCCAACTGCTTCATCGGCCGCCATCCAGGCACAGGTAGCACCTTCACTAGGGGCCCCTTGTGTCTTCTCGAACCATACGAAGGCACCTGGCTCTGAAGGACAGTTGGTATTGCGGTGCCCATTACGTGTGTGGCCCTTGATGCCCACCCATCGACGGCTCCGTTTAGAGTGGTGTCGAGCACAAGGAAACTAGACTGAAGCGGAATGGAACCAGGCTGTCTTTAGCGACGAATCTAGATTCAATCTCGGCAGTGATGACAATCGTGTTCATGTGTGGAGAGCCCATGGTGAATGCCTCAATCCTGCCTTTGCTGTACAGCGACACATCGCTCCCACAGCTTGTGTGATGGTATGGGATGCCATTGCCTACAATACACGGTCAACCCTAGTATTGTTCCGTGGCACCATGACAGCCCAGCGATATGTTCATGAAATTCTGCAACCACTCGTGCAACGGCTCCCAGGAGCCATTTTTCAACAACACAATGCTCGCCTCATATGGCAAGGGTGCCACAAGACTGTCTCTGCACTGTTACTACCCTTCCTTGGCCTGCCCGATCCCCAGATTTGTTTCCAATCGAGCATATCTGGAATCATTTGGGACGACAAGTCGGGCATCCCACGAGTTTGAATGAACTAGAGGCAAGGTTACAGCAAATATGGAACGAAATGTCTCAAGACATCATACAGAACTTGTATGACTCAATGCCCTATCGTATCGCATCGTGCATTCGTGCTAGAGGGGGTCCAACGGAGTATTAACTCCTGTATTTTTTTGCCTTTTTCTCTGAAATAAATTATTCTTTTTCTTTGATTTTCTTATAATTTAAATATATCAAAGTAGTCATTACATACGTAAAATTTCGTTTTATTTTGACGACTCCTTGGTGCGCTAATTTTTTGGTCCATGAGTGTATTTAGGTTCATATTTTACCTTTAAATTTTAAATAAAGTTAATTTTATGTTCTATCAAAGTTTTTAACCATCCTTTAATGAACCTTCTGACAGGCCTGGGAGTCTTGTGTCATAAACCATCACCATAGTGTTATGCATATTATAGAGTTTAATGTCAATATCTGATGCAACACCCAATTATAATAAAGGATTTTAAAAATCACATCACAAATAAAAACTCCAGCCTTAGTTATTACGGTTAAGAATATTTTTAAGGTGATATAAAATATATAACACTAATAAATTTTATATCATCTTGAAAATATTCTTATTCAGTATTTTCTGGAAAACTCATAAAATGCCAGATAAGTGAAAGCTTCAGATAGTTGGGCGTATAAAAAGTGGAACGCATGGGAGAAAAGCCGAAAACTTTTTGAATGAATGGAAGAAGAAATTTCCATTCTCAAATTATAGAAAGTCTTTTTATTTTTTATTTAATTCTAATCTAAAATTTATAAGGCACCATTAGTAAGAAATGTGCAATCAATGTACAATGTGTAACATTAAACAGAATTTTAAATTAATTATATGCAGGTTTTACAAAAAGATTCCCCATTTACTTTGCTTTTATATCTGAATTCTTTAATTTAAGTAGTAGCTGTAATGTAGCACTAAAAAAGAGCAACAACTTTTTTAAACAGTTATTAATAATTAAACAAAATATAATTTATTTGAAATTTAGTTTTTTGATTTCATGCTTACTCTTTATTACAAATTGGTCAACATGGTTAAAGAGTTATCTTAACATCAAACTTGAGGATTTCAATAATTTTAGATCTGTCTGAGAGACCATCCCTCTGTTCTCTTTTGATAATGAAAACCAATGAGTCAAGACGTGTTTTTTTTAGCAGTTTTTCCATTGTTTGGAATCCTATGCTATTTGAATAACCAATAAAACTAAGGCAAAGAAGATCTCATGATTGTATCATGAAATTGTCCTTATCCATTATGGATGCTAAATTCCACAGTCTGGTGAGAGTACAGTATATGCAGTCCACTTAAGCTTTAGAATTCTCATTTGTTAAATTTTTTGCAGGGGAAGTAAGAGTTTTTAAAATTCTATAATATTCCCAGTACATAAGCTTTGCAGTTAGTTGAATGACACATAGTCAGAACTTTAAAAATGCAGTAATATAATAACGATTTAAACTTGCTAAGAAACAAAAAGGAAATATTTAATTATCAGTTTCCTTTACTCACAACCAATCTGACAATTATAATAACGTGTGACCGTATGCACAGCAAAAAGTACACAGGACAAAATGGAAGAATTTAAAATGCAAAATATACAAGAAAAACTGGAATATTTACAATAAAATTCTATATGTATGAATGCCAAAATGATAAACCAAGAATTTCACAGATTTTCTCTATTTTTAAAAGGAAAGAAGCAATGTGAAAATGGTAGAAAAGAGATGAATAAAGAAAGCACATTTCATCATGTTTTGATGGCTGAACAGTGTATACAGCTGAGTATTTGGACATAAAGCCCAAAAGGTTAATGAAGTGAACTGCACCCCTATCAGCTCAAAAATGCTTTTTATTTGCAAGTCTAAACACTTTTATGCTTTTCCCCCCGTCTTCTATTCATGCGTGTATATATATATATATATATATAACATTTTTATTTATTATTGTCAGGTAACTTTGGATAAGAAAAGATCACATTATTAAATATTTCCTTTTTACTTCAATAAGAAAATTTCTATAGCTAGACAAATAGACAAATTTAACACTATTTTAATCTCTCATAAAATTAATGATGATATACGATCCAAATCTTAATATTTTTATTTTTCAGTCAACAATTACATGTCTAACTTTAAAAAAATTCAAACAACAAATAATAATGCTTGATAATAATTAGTATCTGAACACGGTTCATACACGGCCATAGATAGATACTGAACTATCAAAACCAATAAACACCTTAAGATAATTTCTACTTTACAAGATTTACATAATCTTACATGAAGAGGAAAATGAGAAGGATACATCCTTCATGTTTTCCTCTTCTGTTTGGAATCAGAAATCTCTCAAATGTAAAGATGGCAGGAGAAATCTCTAACCTTCTCAAAACTGCTCTTTCCTGATATCCCACAACAGTAACCAGATCCAGCTCATTTTTACTTCATCATTAGAGCTGTGCAATCTGATCTTCTTTCAAAGAAGAAAAAATATATAAAATTTCTAAACGATATCTTAAAACTGTCTTCCTTTCTTTCGAACAGTGGTTCTCAATCTCTTTTGCCCTACCCATGCATCCCTTTCACCACTGCTAGATGATCATACTCCCCTTTCCAAAACTTGAAAAAAATATGTGTTCTTGAAATACATATTTATTTAAATTTAGATTATTTTTATAATCTGTTTTATAAAGTTAACAAGAAAAATATACAAAATGCTGATGACTATCAAAATTGGAACTAAAGTAACTTTTTATATTCATAAACAAAAACTAAATACTTAACAGGTAAGTAAAATGGTGACACATGAATATATGAAATTCCACCCCCCCCCCAAGAGGGGAAACTCCCACCTGGTTTAAAGCCATTTAAGGAGTAGCCATCAGTTTTTGCAGGTTGTTAAAAAACGAACTGAGATTAGACATGATCCTAGGAACTTCTAAGCGTAGATTTTATTGCCGGTCCAACTATGTAAAGCTAATAACCAGCTCTGAATAATTTCTACATAAGTAAGGCTTATTGATTTGAACTATTATCAAATCAATTTCCCAACTTTAAAATGAATTACAAGCAGCAGCTATCATTATAAAATATAAATATACTTGCCTTCGTAATTATGGGCATTCAGAGCATGAAAATAAGAACATTTTGTTGCATGCAGTAGTTCTTTCATGCATAAAACAAAATCACTTTTTGCTGCTATATGCAAACAATTATTTCCATCTTGGTTAGGTATGTTTGGATCTCCTCCCTTCTGGAGAAGAAGTTTTAATACTTTTTCCTTGTTTAGTTTTACAGCTAAATGAAGTGCTGTCTAAAAGGGAAAAATATATATATAATTCTTCATTAATCTCAAAATTATCATAGAACAGAAAGAGAAAGAAAATATCACACACCTGCCAACTTCATTACAATAAAATATAAAAGATTATTTAGAAATAATTCAAAAATAGAGTAAAGTAAATTTTGTAGAGAAAAGCAACACATTTCTAATTATTTTGAAACAATTACAAGGAAAAGAACTTTTCATAAAAAAATAGTAAATAATATATGTGTATTTCATTTTAACATAATTGCAGTAGCTTTTTTTGCTTGTCTTAAGAAGTAATTTAGAAACTGCACTTTATAACATTAATTTCTTGTTGAAATTTCAAGAAGAGAAAAATTAACATGCCAAATAAAACTGACTCAAAAGGAAATCCAATAGAAAATCAGACGAAGTGCAGAATCACCCACTTATTTGGCATGTTATGTTTGGTGCTTTTTACAAGAGAAAGAAGAATTGGATTTTTGTCAATTTCCTTTGACTTTTTAAGTGAAAATACATTGATGTGTACATAGACAAAGTCAAGGGAGTGTGCAATGCTGAATTTGTGCAATTCTCTAGTGTTTTTTTAAGTGAAAATAGGTCGATGTGTACATGGATACCGAGTTTGTGCAATTCTTAAAAATGCACCAAGCAGTGATTCTGCATTTTCCCCGAAAAATCAATGATATTTGGCATAGATTTTATTTTTGCAAAAGAACTTTCAGTGATTCCAATACTTTCACCTCCTTCAATTACAGAAGAAAGTGATTTGAATCAATGGAAGCATTACTGCTAAAATCAAATCTATGCCCATTGATTACCACTGCATTTTTACAACTGCCAATAGATATTCTTAACAGTCTAAAAAGGACTTCTTTTACATGTACAACCTCTGTTCAGGAAGTTTGCTGCACGACATCACAGTTCTCATGTCATAATAGTGTGTAGCCAATGTATTCCATGCCAGACAGGTCAAGACTGGCCTGAAATAGTTCCCAAGTGGCACTGCTGCAGTGAAAACAGCTCATTGTACATGGAAGGTATTGTGCCTGCAATCAAAACTCAAAATGAATCATGAACAAATATGCTGTTCTGTTTCATACTTCGATCACCTTGAAGTGTGCGTTCAAGTAAATTAAACATTTCTGAGAAGGGCGGGATACCATTAAAGACTTCTCCCGAAGTGGTCAGCCTGCAACTTCATGCACCCCAAACAATGTCCAGGAACATTGTGCGACAGTGTGAATGATAGTGGAAAAAGTGAGAACAAGTATGAGATGCCCCACAATTTGGGTAAATGCAAGCTTTGCTCCCAACTCGTGCCCCACACTTCGACTCACAATGCAAATTTGGAACAATGCAAATTTGGCCTGACGCCTGGGGTCACATCGAAACTCAAATTTTCAGAAAACCATCATCACAGGGAATGAGACCTAGTACCTGAGGCATGACCCCGAAGATAAGCATTAATGTACAGAGTGGCGAAGTCCAGGGTCGACAAAATGCAAGAAGGAGTGAGGTGAGATATCCCACATCAAGACAATGCTTGTGGTGTTCTTCGACACTTTGAGTCTCCTCCATAAAGTATTCCTCCCTCAGGACACCATGTCAAATGCCACTACGTATGTGGAATTACAAAAAGGCCTGCTGTAATGGATCAAGTGGGTACATCTCCCAGTATGTCAAGGAAGGCAATGGGAGACCCTACTCCATGACAATGACCGGCTCTACACTGCCTTACTGATGCATCATTTCCGGGTCGACTTGGAATTACCTACCGTACTCGGACTAGTCTCCCTCAGACTTTTTCTTGTCATCATTTTTTTTGGCCATCACTTAAGACACTACGCCAGGAGTTTCCAGAACTTGTACAACCATTCCCAGATGTTTAATACCACTAATGGGGAACTTCAAACTATAGTAACAGCTGTTTTATGTAAGACGACAATGTAGATATATTTATCAAACATTCTGGAAGAAGTTGCAATAATAAACAGGATGAATTCAAATGTTAAAATATCAAACTTTCTGAACAGAAGTTGTAATAATAAAGAAGATAAATTCAAATGTTAAACTGATATCTGTCAAGAATCAATGCAAGACAACAGTCAATTCGCTTGAAATATAAGTAATGACAAATCACCAATCTAGCATATAAAATTGGATGCCTTTATAAAAAATGGCAAAATTCATAAAATATAAAGTTTCTCTATTTTATTGACATATATATATTACTACGAATAAGAACGACTACATTTTAAATGCAGTAAATGATTATATCAGAATCTAACTTAATTTTTGCCTTTTTATTAGAAACAGTTTCTAAAAGTTTTTATCTAATAATATTCTTTTCAGGCAATGTATTTTTTCCATGTGTGTAACTAAAAATACAAAGAGTCCCACGTTTAAAAAATATGGTGGTTAAAAAAATACAAATAACAGAAGCTTTTTCAATTATTCATTATACAAACGGAACAGTTTGCATAATCAGTACATCAGATTTGTACTCATATCATCTGAAAGAAATGATATTTTAGTTATTTTTAATTCACAGAAGACAAAACTTTCATTAGACTGGACTAGCTGGAGAGTGACACACATTTATTAAAATTTCAGCTGATTCTTCTAATGCTGTTCATGCAAATTTTTCTTACAAAGGATGTATCTGATGTTCTACTTTTTGACATATTAAAAGAAATGGCATTCACTTGCAAACATTTTGTATTTTTCAGAATGTAGTAGGAAACAAAAATCACACACCTCTTTGCATTTATTCTTCAAATTCACAACATCTTCTGAAATGACATTTAACAAATGTTGGATTATTTTCAAGTTAACATTCTGGCTACTGACTGCTATATGGAGTAAACTAAAAAAAAGGAGAGAAAGAAAGGAAAACACATAAGAAATTTTAAAGCTACAAAATAATACTCCAGATATTGCTTCATATAAATACACCATATAGCTGCTGTAAGCAATTAAAAATTTTAATTCTTACGAGTTTCCGTGATCATCTTGCAGAGGTATAATATTTTGAACAGAGAGTAATAAAGAATTAACATCTCCAGTTTGAAGGATACAAGCTATAAGTTCTCGAAGGCACTTATGGGTACTCTCTGGTTTCCAGTTGACAACTTTTCTACTATTATCATTTAATGATAGAGATGCCACTTTTGCAACTGCTCCATCAATATGAAGGTTACTGTCTGTATTGTCAATATTCAAATCATCAAAATAAGTTGGATCTATAAGTAAACATTCACAAAAGATTAATATTGGTTTTAAAATATGTAATTATACAAATAATTAAATTTTAATTTCATCCATAATATTTCAAAAATGAATGCATAAACATACAGAAAATACATAAACAGATGAGTTGCTATGAACTTCACACAAGTTTGTATATTTTTGCAGAAATCAATATATATGCAGTTTTATGCTTTAAAAAAACCACACACAATAATTTTAAATCGATGAAATTTAAAAAACAGTTTGTTTCAATTGTTTCTATTTAGAAACATGCAATTCTTAAGTTTAATTTTATTAACTGCATTTATTATGATTTACTCACATTACAATAGATGTCTACGGGGTCAAGGAAAAAAAAAAATGCTATAGCAAATGGTCATTATATCAAACATACTTCAAAATTTAGAAAAAATAATATTGGTATGTTATTCTGTTAAAAAATTTCCAATATCCAGGAATTTATTATTACCGTAATTTTATGTGTTTAGAATTTTAAATTACCACAATTTTATGGGTTTAAAATTTTAAATTACAGCAATTTTACATGTATAAAATTTTAACTATTTATATTTATAATAAAATCAAATAATTAATAATTTTATTTAAAATTTACTGCTCGCATTTAGCATTCTCCTTAAAGAAATGAGCAATTTTCCAATTAATGGGATGCCACTTAAGGGATTATCACATCTAGCGATGGTCCCTTTTCTGATCTGCTGATTGTACTGTAAGCACAAATAGCTATGTAAATATTATTTTTGAATATTATATTTACTTTCTGCAACTGATTACACACGGTGCTTCATGTAATTATCTACCACTAATGTGTATAACCATTTACTGACTGTACTGTATGCACAAAAAACTTATGTACGGATTGTTTCGAATATTGTATGTACTCTCTGCATCAGATTATACATGGCACTTCTCTGTATGTAACTACTCACCACTAATATACTACCATCTACGGATTGTACTGTAAGCACAAATAGCAACATACAGTTTGTATCGAATATTGTATCTACATCTGCTTGTACACGGTACTGTACTATATGTAATTTTGTAATTACACTCTACAATTGTTTGCACACGGTACTTTACTATATGTAATTACTTAGCACTAATATTTATCACTACTTTCTGATTATAATGTATGCACAAATAGCTTTGTACAGATTGTTTTGAATATCATATATAATCACTGCACTTGATTATACACAGTTTGTACTAATGTCAGCTTTACTTATCCACTACTATTATACCTAATCAAGTACTTATGTTTAATGATATACCATAACATTATGCAATCATGTTCTGTAACTTCTGAATGCACATTGTAGCATGAAAGTGCAAAGACGTTTATGTATAACAAAAATTGTGACACTGTAACATCTTAAATATTTTTTATGTGTTCCCAGGCTGCGTAATGGAGTTCTGTTTCTGCTGTATGGGCATTATTCTGATAGGTATAACCTTAGGTTGGAAGCCCTTACAACAGTGATCGGTGATCAGTCCCTTTTCTGAGAAACGATATTCTGGTAGCACTGGTTTAAACAAGAGGATTCCTAGAAAAAAACAGCTCCGCTGGAAGTGAAGTCCCATCTAGCTATGGAAATGAGGTACCCGCTACGAGGAATTTTTTTAAAACCTCGCCGAAAATGTTTCATCTGCAGCTATCTGGAGAGAGATCAACCAATACAACGAAAGTTCTTCTGCTTCTGAAGGATCACGTGATCCCAATCTGGGCAACAATCAATTACCATTTAGCTTTCAAGTCTGTTTAGTAAGTAAAAATGGTAACTTAGCTACGTAGGTTTCATGGAAATGTGCGGGTTCTCAGAATTGTTCCTTTCGATGTCCAGTCCTACATAGCTGAAACATGTGTGATTATGACTTAGCATCGAACATAAATTTTTGCATGAAAACTAACAGAAGACAGGAATGGCAAACTTGATCATACATATCGCTTCATGAACAGAATGGCTATTTTATTAAATTTAAACAAATATAAAAAGTCAGGACAAATACAAAAATTTATATATAAGAATACATACAATTATTCCAATTTTCAGATGAACAATGAATTATTTCTGACTGCAATTAACAGAATTCTACTAGCATGAATTTGTGATACCAGAAATAAATAAAACAACTGACACAAAAGAACAAACAACAGCCACAAAAGGAATGCATGAACTTTTCTGAACCAGCTTTCACTCTGTAAACCTATATTCTCAGAGCATGATATTCACTGCAATGACATTTCAGTATTTCGGTACTAGTAAAACTGGCATGTATTTTATGATTTTCAAGACAAACTCTTTCATTATAGGTGATATAGAAGTTTTCTTTGGAAGAATTGAATGGCAACTGCTAAATTATTACATAATCCATATTAATTCGCTCAAACTCACAGAGGGAAAACTAGTGAATCAATGTTCATCCTTTCTAATTATTCTCAATGAGCCGCTCAGATAGTATAGTGGCTAGGGAAGTGGTGTAGATGGTATAGTGGTTTGTTCTACTGCAGTACTGAAGCGCCTAGGATCAAATCCCACAGTAGGCATGGCTGCAACTGTCTGCTCCTTTACAGGAGGCAACAGTAGCTGCCTATTAAGTGCCTCCACAATAAAACGGCCATCACTGTTGTCCTTAACAGTGGCCGATGATAAATAAACAATTGCCTGCCACTGGATTAAAAAAAAATATTCTTAATGGTATCACTGCACATAAGGTGACTGACTCATAAGGTCAAATATATAGGTTACTTACTTCATTTGGAGTTTTGGCATAAAATGTAGTGTTCTGATAGTTTTTGAATGGTTTTGTTAATCAGAAAATATTACTTTAGAAATTTCAAAAAGTCCAGTTACGTTTATTGCACTTTGTACCAACACTCACAGAATATCACTTCAGTTTGAACTTGGGAATGATAAACGAGGTACATAGAGTAGCAAAACAATATTTCCAAATATTTATAAATACATTTGTAAACAACTATCTATTCATTGCATAGGACAGAAATACCATCAAATGTGGCCAAAATTCATTTATAACTGTTGCGACTCCTATTAAGTTTAGCATTTCTTGTTTCTTATTATTTAACAATTTGTTTTGTAACTCTGTTTGATGTATGAACATGGCAACCAGTTTTGTTTTCAAATGTTGTGATCCGAAAATTCTCGTTATAAGTAAGCAGCTGTTAAGTCAAAAAATATGTATTGTTCGTTAGACATTCTTTGGTTAAGTTACATTATTGAGATACTTAATTTTTCATTATTAAAATATATGGATCATTTGATCATTCTGCTAAACTCCACATGTAAATAGTCGCATTAATATGTACGTGTTTGTAAAGTGAAATAAATTTGATATTAAATGAAGTTGGATTTCTGAGTCAAAACAAAAGTGGCGTTAGGACATTGTACTCTGCATTAAGTAGTGAACCAGAAGCCATTAAATTTACAAATTGAACATTACTTTATTGGAGGTAAACCATATAATTTATTGATTTATTGAATTTTTGATTGCTTCTGAGTTATTTTATACTAAGTTTTGCTTCATGTAGAAAATTTATGTTCAATTTGATATAGTACGTTTAAGAAAGATAAAATGACTCTAGATTCAGAACAAACAGAAATTCAGGATAAATTAAAGGCTGATCAATTGAAACTTGAAACTAAGTTACAAGCAGGAAGAACTAATTTACGCTATTTCTTTACTAAGGCGCCGAATACGTTTGTCAATATTCATCGTAAGATTGATGTCGAAAAGGACATTCATATTCAGTTTGGCAAAGTTGTCTAGAAGGTACAGCGTTTATTTAAAGTAGATTAAGAAATTAAAAATTTAATTAGTTTTACAGATCAAGAATATGATGCAATGGAATCTTACAGAGACAAATTTATTGAAATAAGAGTTATATATGAGAAGAATTATAATCAACATTATGAAGGTAAATCTGTAATTTCTAATAAGCTTGCATTTGATAATTTAAAACTTCCGAATTACGTCTTAAGGAGTATGATATTATGTCTAGATCATGGGTTGCATTTGGGGGTCAGTTTTCTTGAAGTAATGAAGATGAAAATTTAAGAGAAGAAAAATTTCAATATCTGCTTTCTTCCTTGAAACCAAAGGATAAAGCAAGTGATATCGCTGAAAGTTATCCACCTTCCAAAGTTGAAAGTTATTGACCATTTAAAGTCCCGATTTGGCACAAAGGACTTATTGATTGAAGATCAGATTTGAGACCTTCGCTGGAGATAAAAAAATGTTTTATTTCAAAAAGAGTTGCCACTGCTCGCTTTCAAATGGTTGAGTTTGTTAATAAGAAATATGTTTGTTAATAAGTTTTACAAAATATGAAATAAAAAGAGCACTGCCAAACACTAAACATATAATGGTTATATAAAGCCATATTCTGACGTTGAGGAAAGCATGTGATTGTATGTGACATCATTGTATGATGAAAATTTTTTATTAATGTCAGTATTTCAAATAAATAGCTGTTGTTGACAACTATTTTTTGTCAGGGATGTTTCCGTAACTGGCACTTAGCAAAATTTTGAATTTGTTTACATCAGAAGAGCGCATATGTGCAACAGATATGGTAACCCTGACAAGTGTTGCAACCCACACAGGGAATTTTCATGAAGGAGGAAAAGGGAAATTTTCTGTTTACTTTTCGAATATTACGGTACGAGTAAATAAAGTTTGAAAATCGCAAATCAGTTATTAGTTCATATTTTCGCAAAACGTTTATGGAGATTTAAATGAAAATATAAAATTTTATTCTATTTATTCTCAGTTACCTAGAGTATGTCAAAATTCTACTTTATAATTTTCTACGGTAAGAGTAAATAAAGTTTGAAACCCGCAAATCATCATTTGTTCATATTTTCGCAAAACTTTTATGGGGAGTTAATTGGAAAAAAAAAAAAAAAAAACTTTATTCTATTTATTCTCAGTTATCTAGAGTATGTCAAAATTCTATAATTTTCTATGGTAAGAGTAAATAAAGTTTGAAAACCACAAATCATTATTAGCTTATATTTTCACAAAATGTTTATGAGGTCCAGATTGAAAAATCTCTTCATTACAGCAAATTAAAATGCCTGATTGGCATTTAATGCATTTAACTACATATTAAATGAAAATATTAAAGTAGATATGAAGATGCATTAAATATCGTTTGGACTAATTTAATTATGTTATCACTTGTTTTAATAACTCTGTATTCTTAAATATATAGCTATGCACATTTAGTTTTTCTCAAATGTGATACTTCCCTTAAAATAAAATTTACAAATTATTTTAATAAAAATTATTAAGCTATCCTTATTTATTTTTAGATGTCTGTACACTTTTTTACTCTGCACACAGATACTCAGAAAGTTACAGGGGTTGGACAAAAATATGGAAACATCTTTAAAAAACATGTTTCTTTGCTTAATATGGTGTAGGAAACCCGTTGGCATCCAAAACAGCTTGCAGTCTTCTCGGAATGAATAAATACACTTCCTGTATGTTTGCAAGGGAATATTATACCATTCTTCCTGCAAAACGGTGGCAAGTTCAGATAACGATGTTGGCGGTGGATAACGAGAACGCACTTTCCTTTCCAATGTAGACCACAAAGGTTCGATAATATTCAGGTCTGGTGACTGTGGTGGCCCGGGGAGATGGGACAACTCATCCTCGTGCTCAGAAAACCAGTCCTGGACAATGTGAGCTGTGTGAACAGGGGCTTTGTTGTCTTGGAAGACACCATCACCATCGGGGAACAAAGTTTGTACCATGGGATGAACTTGATTGACCAAAATGTTCACATAAAGTCTTGGCAGTCATGGCCCTGACACAGTTATCATGGGGCTAGCAGAGAACCACGATATGGCTGCCCAAACCATAACAGAACCCCCCGCCATGTTTCACTCTTGGCAACAAGCAGTCTGTATTATAGGCTTGAAGGCTTGAGATGGCGTTCTCCAGACGTAAACTCGGCCAGAAGTGGGAAACAATGTGAAAGAAGACTCGTCAGACCATATTACTCGCTTCCACTGCTCTATAGTCCAGGCTTTATGACTTAACACCACCTTTTTCTGTTACGGGCATTAGCATCACTGATGAGTGGCTTCTCAATTGCAGCACACCCAGCAATTCCTTGTTTATGAAGCTCCCTTCTAATTGTTTTGGTACTCACGGGGTTTGGTAACACAACATTCATTTCAGCAGTAACTTTTGCAGCTGTGGTCTTCTTATTTTTCGTCACAATTGCCCTTAATGATCGTCTGTCACGATCACTCAGGACACACTTTCGTCCGCGTTGTGATTTAGCAGATGATGTTTTTCCGCTTTTCAAATATGCGGAATAAATCTTCGATACAGTACCTCTTGAAACACTGAACACCTTGGCTACGTTGCTTACGGAAGCACCTAGCATACGTGCTCCAACAATTTGCCCACGTACGAAGTCTGTTAAGTCTGACATAATACAATGACAACCTCACATAACAGTACTCTGACAACAACTGAACTGTTTAGCACATTTACGAAGTTCATACATATTTCATTAAAATCAATCTTTCTTTTCAAACATGCATTTCACAAGGTTTTTCCATATTTTTGTTCATTTACTGTATATGAGTATAGATAAAAATTATTAATATTCCCTCCCAAGTCAAATGGATATTGCTGTAGTGCACGATTTCAAAAAAGTAAATCATCAGAATATTAAGCTGTCTATTAATGTCTGAAGCAAAGAGATTTTTCTTCAATTCGAGCTGTGCATAAAATTTTTCCAATGCATTAAATCTCTGAACTGGAATAAGTTAATTTACTATTGTGGAACTAATATGAAAATAATATTGTTGATAATATAGTAGTGCCCCACCAAAAAATTTATGCTGGGAGAAGAAGCACAGCTTCGATGACACCGCAAAAGCCAAATGAAAAGTGGCTTAATTTTTACTCTTTTCTAAGTTCTTGTTTTTTGGATGTTTGGTAGTTCAGAGTTGTTTTCCCTGTCCAACTTCTCTCAGAGAGGGAAAACAATTTTGGACACCATCTTGGATCCAATCGCCAAGGGCCAGCTATGAAAAATTTGCCGAATTTTCAAGCACTTCTCAATATTTTTGGAAGGGAGAAAATTTCTGTTATCAGTATGAAAGTTTTTATATCATGAGAGGCATCTCTTGACATCTACTGCAGTCACTGGAGCATACTTGAAGAAAAATTTCATCACTTATCATTAATTCTTTTGAGAAACATTAGGAAGCATCATTTTAAAAATACAGGCAAAAGTCTTTAATCCGGACGTCCATAATCCGAAATGATCTATAATCCGGACCTCAAAGCTACAAACTTTCTGCACATGCATAATAATACCTTTACGCATGCGTATAATATGTTTACGCATGCGCATTTAATGTATAATGGACGGTATAAGCTAAGCTAAAATTATCTAATTATCTATTTCAGTTAATGTTGCAGATTGCGTTGTTCCTTAATCTACTAATTGGATCCGGCTTATTATTTTTTGCAGTCTGTTAGAGCAATTTTATAAAAGTAAGCTTGAACTTTAAATTACATGAAAACGAATTTCTGGTTCTGGAGCTGCCAAAGGATCTACAAAGTGAAAGCATGTTTCGATGTCCATCAAACAAAAAGTGGAATTGCTGCAAAAAATGGATAAAGGCATATCCTTTGTTTCTCTAATCATTCCGAAATCTGTTTATCAATTTTATGTTGCTCTGCCGGGGGGGGGTTGCGGCACACAATAATGAACTGGAAGTTCATCTGTCAGTTTTTATTTTATTTGCCTTATAATTCCTTACTAAATGTAGTATTTCATCTTGATGTACTCCATCTTTGATATGATTTAAATCAAATTCCTCATCATTATAAATATCACCAATACACATCAAATAGTTTTCTGGTTGCAATTTTCTAATTTCGACTATGCGTAATGTATGCTTTACGCATGCGCGCATTGAAAGAAATGTTTAACAAAGTAAACAAATAAATATTAAGCTTTTTTTTATTGTAAATTTTGATACCCTTTATATCATAATTGCTCTTTTTTTTATAAATTATGGTTTCATATTTTTAATTTTATAATTTCTGCATGCCATCTTACCAGATTTAAACTGATGATCTATAATCTGGAAAAAACGATATTCCGGAATCGCTGAAGTCCCGACGAGTGCGGATTAAAGACTTTTGACTGTACAAAGCTCTGTTTCAAACATGACATGTGAAGGGACACTTTCTGTCTCAGCCCCTTGCGAAGAAATTTAAACAAAATATGCATAGGTACATGCTTTGAAGCAAAGCTAGCACCTGTGCATTCAAGAAGGCATATTAGATTTGCCTGGCCCTGCTAACTGCTAAGCTTTTGTCCCAAGGATACTGGGGTTCAGTCTAAGGGTCTTTCACAGCTCATCTTCCTCTCAAGAGGAATTCGGCTAACTATGTATATTGAGTGCTCCCTTACCCCACAGATACTATACATTTACAAACATTCAATCTTTTGCCGGGATTTGAATCTGAGTTCTTTGGTACATCACTCAGCATCACTAACTACTATAGAGTTCAAGTGGCACAAAATATATACAGTGAAGATCTTAAAATTTCTAAAAATTTACTGTTTGGCTGAATAATGCCAAATAATGAAATAAAAGCGTAAAGTTAGGATTTAAAGATTTAAAGAAAAGCTTTGTAAAATGCCTTACTAATGACATTTCCTTCCAGATATGGAAGGATCAAGACCTGACTTGGTTGTAGCTGAATAAAATGTCCATTCAAGAAGATGATGTAGGCACAGAACAGAGGATTTGTTGTAAAATTTCAAAATTTCTCCTAGCCTTAGTCTAGCTTTTAGAATTGTTGTAAAGTTGGCTTTAAAAACACAATCTTTAAAGTTAATTAAGTTAATTCAAAAGTTTGAAGTCTCTCTCTCTCTCTCAAACCTGCTATTACGCTCAGCCGTACTCAGGCCCTTGATAAGCTTGAGAGTCAAATAGAGTTAAAGGGCCAACTGTTTGTTAAATCTTAATGGAATAATAAAGGGTTAGTTACAATTCCATCTTGTTGTTTCTTATCACATGAATTTAAGTTATTATATGCTAACTAGTTCTTAACATTCGTCACTTTCTACAGTAACTGAGAATTACACTAATGAAGATCTTACAATTTAAACAGAAGTTCAAAATTTTGTTTATATACTTTATGAACATTCTATGCGACTCCCCTTGGTAACATGGAAAATATCTAAGCAGTAGTCCATTTCACCCCATACATTATGAAACATATCTGGAGTCACCAGCACATTAGAAATGTACATCTGGAATTTTTTTTTCTCCCCCACAGAAAGCATATATACAATGTCTTTCACATAATCAAATAAAAGAAATCACTGAAAACAATTCCAAAACTCAAAATGTGCATTTCTAATGCACTCGCATTAGTAACTCCATATTTTCTTCAGAATGAAATGGTGTGGTTATTGATAATATTCTTTTTAATTAAATAGCTATGTCACATGTAATCGCTATATTCATTTTAAATCACTACTTTGAATACTTACCAAAAAAAGTTACATCATTATCGACAAGATCTTCAGACAGTTTTGGAAGAAACTCAGCTAAAAGTTCAGTCACATTTTTATTCAGATCTTCTTCATTTTGTGAATGTAAACCAATGTCTTCACCACTTTGACGCATTGAGTAGCTTTCTTGCATAGCTTCATTTCCTGGTTCTTAAAAATAAGCAAATTTATATGCATGTCACTTTCAAGAATTAGATTCTGTATTTTAATATGTTATATTACTTTCAGTAATAAAAAAATATATGGCATCCTACCTAAAACTAATGTTAATTCTTACAATACAGTAAAATTCTGATAATCTGATAATACCTGTAAAATGCACTCATTTTTGGATGTAAATAAATCAAACTGCTGTTTTTAGAAAACGGTAATTTCTTCCTTTTATAAATATGTAAATATAGAGTTTATTTATCATATATTTTCATTAAAGAAGCAAATTTATTTTATTATTGAAATTATTTAGCATTTTATGTGCACACATCAGCACTTATTTTACACAAATCATGAATGTGAAAATTTTTATTTTTGGATAAATGATTACTTTTATTATGTTGAATGTATATTTTGCTGGTAGTTAAAATTAACTTTATGAAGTTAACTTACATAAAGTATTTATTTATCCACAGTTTTCCAGATATCAAGTTCCAACTTAAAATGCAGTAGGTATGTTTATATTACAGCCAACCTTGGAACATGAAAAACAGGAACAGCCGCCAACATTGCAGCATGAAAAATAGGAAGGTTCCTTGGATGAAAACTAGGAGTTTTGGGCAGATTTTAGCACTGTGTGGTGATACTACTTTAAAAGAATCCAACTATGAGATGCACTCAAATAAAGTTGGAACTCAACTATTGAAAATATATAGACAAATAAATTTTAAGCATGTTAACATATACATATAAAAATTCTTTAAACATGTTAACAACATAAGATAAAATTTAATTTTAAAAGACAGCAGAATATACACGAATATGATAGGATTAATTAAAACAATTTCCAGAGATTCACAATTCATGTTTACCATTAAAATTAGAGCACTGCCGAGTACCTGAAATATGTTAAATAATTTCAACAATTAAAAAATTCACTTCTTCAGTCTACATATTCTACAAATATAATGTAATTTTATGTAATAAGCATATTTGTGAGAGAAAACTGGCATGCTGAAAATTGAAATTCTGCTTGCATCTGAAAGTGAGCAGTTGCAAATTATTAGAATTCTCTCATACAAAATGTTACTGCTCATTTACAAAATAAATACCGTATTTATGCGAATCTAATGCGCCATCGAATCTAATGCGCATCCCCATTTTAAAACTTTAAATAATAAAAAAATTGTTTGTCGGCGAATGTAATGCGCATCAATAGTATGAGGAATTTATTGAATCTTTAGTTGCAAACAGTGCCAATTTCCGTTGCCCGCCACAAGCGAACATTGCTCTCAGCTACGTTGAACTCTCTCCCTGCCTTTCTATTACCATTTTTTTTCAGCATAAAGAATTACTTACGTTTTGAAAGTAGCGTCATATGACTTCTTCTCTGTTTGCCCTCCATTTCCTTGACTACGTACCTGCAGTTTGTATCCTCTATGCAGTAATGTGTCAACGATAAATGTAACGGTAAATGTAGTTTGAGAAATACAGTAATCCATTGTTACAATTTAAATTTGGTTGACGTCATCGGCGAACTTTGCACTCGAATCTAATGCGCACCCCAATTTTGAATACTTCATTTGGCCAAAAACGATGTGCATTAGATTCGCGTAAATACGGTATTATCAATTTTTCAAAATGACATTAAATACCTAAAAAAATCAGCTGTGTTGTTTAAAATCTTATAAATCCAACTGATAATAATTAGGGGTACTTTTCCGCTTTGCCGGAGCAAATGATAAAGTTGCCAATAATGGTACAACTGATACCAAACAGAATATCTTCACTGGTAACATCTTACACTTTATTTTCAAAACAAGTTGCAGCCATTTCTTGTCAGATTGATTGTTTCTTTCAATACTGACATAAAATTTTTACAAGATAGTTAAATTTTTTGCCCAAGACCATTCAATTAGGATGCAATCACACCGCTCACCGGAAGGCGAAAATATAGAAAGGCAAAATCAAGGGTTAAATTCATCAATTCTAATGAGAATGCACTAGCGAAGTAAAGCACTGCGGTTTTACATAATTTCTGAGTAAGCTACTCGTACGAATTGGAATAATTCTTGCATTTAAACTATGTATTCGAAATTATGATTTAATTTGAAATTAATGTAGATAATTACTGAGAGACTTCGATTTTTGTAGTGATTAGTATAATATTAATCGTGATTAGTTCGTGATAACCGATCGTGATTAGTTCACGTGAGATAAGATCACTTGGGGTCACATGATAAGAACCTGGCGAATCAGGATGTTGAAGCCATGAAAGCATAGTAAATTCTTAAATTAATGTCTTTTTTACAATTTTATTGTCTTTATTTATTGGCGTTTTACAAAATTTTAAGCCATATTAAAATCAAACCATATCAAAATAAAAAATTCTTAGAACTAACATTTGTTATGTGTATAGGATATGCTGTCGCCAACAAAGTCTGCTAGGCGAGATTTCACCAGTGAAATGGAAAAGTACCTAATTAGGTGATTCACATTTTCATCCAGTCAACTCAAAACAGTAATTGCAAATGCTAGATATTTATTGCAATGTAACAGTGGTTCTCAACCTTTTTAGCCCCATGCACGTCTTTCATCGTTGTTAGAAGATCATCTCCCCTTCATTTCCAAAACTCAAAAAATACACACATAAATTAATTTAAATTGAGATTACTTTTAACTTTTTTTACAAATTGAACAACAAAATGCATAGAAAATATTGATAAATATGAAAACTTTTATTTTATATTCATAAACTAACATAAGTTGTATTTTATATTCATAAACTAACATAAGTTGTATTCTGCACATAAGTTGTATTCATAAACTAAGTAAACACTTGTAACATAAGTCGTAAGTAAATACGTGTAACAAAACTTGCTGTAACATAAATTGTATTCATAAACTAAGTAAATACTTAAATTTTAAATTAAAGGCTGACTGCATTGCCCCTGAATCTTTCCTTCATCAGGGAGAATTCCCCCCCCCCAATTGAGAAACCCTGTTAACAGACTTATTTTTAACCCCTTCGCGCTGACTGTCACGTATACGTGCCAGCAACGAACACACTTATCTACTGGCCGACACGCAGGCGTGCCAGAGCATTGTTGTGTTTTCTACCGACTGTCACGTATTTATGCCAGTACCTTGGCAGAACTAAACTATATTACAAGATTTAATGATGAAATTTCAGTTCAAAATATAGAAAATAAAAAATAATAAGCTATATTAATTGTATTCATTTGGCACCTAATAATAAATACAATTTATTTTTCCACTCATATTAATATTTAAATACTTTAACTTAAATCAAAATTCTGAACATTTTCTAAATTTTCATTGCATAACAGTTTTCCCTTAACATTTATTCCAAGCAAAGTAATTTAAGTAAAAAAGAGGCACATTTCTGAAATCAGAAGACGGGAAATTGCTTCATGCAGTCACCTTTAACAGTAAAAGCTTAACTAACCCGCATACTCGGAAATTGCCAAATATTCCGGATAGTAACTGGAAAAAGAGGAGTGGGGGAGATTGTATTCGTTCTTTAGATTTCTCGGCTAAATAAATGATTTTGACATTTCGATATGTGCATCATATAAAAATAGACCAACAGAACTGAGAAATAATCTGCTTAGAAAGCACAGTAAAACTCTTTTAAGTGTTCATAAACAAATCTCGGACTGAAACATCAAAATTAATTATCTCTCCAAAATACTGCACAAACGTTATTGCGTGCAATACGTGCGGTGTAATTCTTCCACATGTGATATTTCGCAATCGGAATCAACAGCTGCTGGTATTCGGAGAATAAAGAACTAAATAAAAGAAAAGAGAAACAGATTTACTAATCTGGGGTGTTTCTGATTCTAATTTCAACAGACTGCGTTAACCCCTTCGCGCCAACTGTCACGTCTACGTGCCAGCAACGAAAACACTCATTTTCCCGGCCGACACGCAGGCGTGCCAAGCATTTTCCCGTTCACTACCGACTGTCCCCGTATTTGTGCCAGTGTCCTGGAACGTTTTTCAAACTATAATTTCTGCCACAAGATGGTGCTGTATGTCCATATGGTTTCAGATACATGTACATTAGACCTTCTACTCGAAATGAGAGAAGCATGACTCACATACACGTGTTTTTGATTATATAAATAAAAGAGGAAATAAATGTTTCCGAACGGCGTGATTTATGACGTCTCTTTAAATCGCACTTTATTCGCACGTGGTAGTTGTTTATTTAAGTACAGAAGTTTATTTGCGCTAAGGTGTTGGGTATTTTGGTTTGCAGTTCAGTTTTTTAGAAAATAATTAGATCTGTTTAGACGTGAATTCTTTGTTTTTTTACCGTTGCAATGTCGAAGCGTCGAAAATTTTAACAGAGCATGAAATAGCGGAAATGATGCAAAATATTTCAGATATTGATTCCGAAATTCTTATATTCTGATATTGATTCTGAAAGATTAACTGAAAGACATTTTCCAAAACTTTGTTCAAAAGAAACTGATAAGAAAATGAGACGACGATGCTTCGTTTGTTCACATTCCCGGAAAAATCCGCCAAAATGGCAAATGAGTTATTACGAGTGCAAGGAATGTAACGTAGGACTGTGTATAGATCCCTGTTTTCAAGTTTTTCATACGAAAAGAGAATTTTAAGTAATATATTTAGTTTTCAGATGTATAATGTTAAAAGTCATAAAATGGTGAGTAATTAAAATAAAATGTGTAAAATATGCATTTAAACAAGAAATAAGGTAATTAAAGTATATATATAAAAATATCTATAAAGCATAAGCTGTTTAAATACTCTATAAGCATTATTAAACAATGCGTTGATACTTCGGAGATTTCATGGATTTAGTCTTAGTAGCAAAAAAGCCCCCAGCCCTGGAGAGATGCTCGCAGAAGACACTGCCGGCCTCCGCGATAAGCGCGCGTTTTCGCTACCCGGCTCGAAGGGGTTAATAAAAACTACTTCTAAATTAGCAGAATACACCACTTACCAATCAAACTGTTTGCACTTAAAGCACTCGGAGCTTCTGCATTACCATCCGAAGACAAATGTTCATATTTTTTATCAATCATATTTCCAGCAACAGAAATCTGAGTACTAGCAGGGAAATTATGACTAGGATTGGGTTTTTTCCTTTTTTTAGCTACACTTGCAAAATCTGAAAAAAAGCATCAGAAAATGCAAATATCACTAGGAAGCAAACAATTATATAAAGAATCATTTTTTTTTTCAATCATGTCTGAATAGATGTGTAACTGTTTTGAAACTCTGTAATGAACTAAACCTACAGTAGCATAGCAGTATAGAATTTGCCCTGATTTTTAAATTATAACTTTTGTTTCACATTAAAATATTTTTGGGGGGGGCTCATCTACTTATGATGCTTTCAAATCTCACATACCTTTTCTGTTTATCTTTTAATACATCCCCCTCTTTTTTTTTATTTTTAATAGCAATAAATACTTTCTTTCCTTCCACCGACAGCGAGGCAGCCAGTCCACTGGGTAGTTAGCATATCGGCCAGGTAGCCCCGCTGACGGAAATAACTTGAACAAAATAACACACGTATAAATACATATTGTGCTCAAGACGACTGCTGGGGGCAGTGCAAACAAATGCTGGACGAAGACGATAGTGCATGATGGGAAGAAGGGTGCATTGCGGGTGTGAAGAACAATTTCAGTTACTTATTTACAGAGTTATGGATAGGTGGTTACAAATACTAAAAGTAATAAGAAGTAAAATACTAGAAAGTAAAATAATACATAAATTTTTTTTAAAAAAAAAAGCAAAACAGTGGAAACAATACATAAAATAAGGCAAAATACATAGTTCAAGGTCATAATTCAAGGTTTACAGTTCAAGGAGATAAATATATACAGGGAATAAGAAAAGCCGAATAAGCTAACTTAAGATAAAATTAGTTCACTACAGGTACAGAGCATACAGGGGCTGTGCTGGTGACGAGGATGGTGGCTGAGAATTACTCCAGCCAGTCTGAGATTTTGCGTGCAATGTTTATGCAATCGCATATGCGTTTCAATGCATTGCAATTTTTTTAAGTAGCTTCGGCCCATGCATTGATGTGGTTTGCTACTGGTTCCCTAAGATGATATTTGGCGGTCTCTCTGCAAGCGAACAGATAGTGGTCCGGATCTCCTACCATCCCACATGAGCAATGCTCGTTTTCGCGTCGTCTGAAGCGATGCAGGTAAGTCATGAAGGGACCATGTCCTGTTAGATACTGAGTGAAGTGAGACGAGCCAGATTTTAGAAGCTGGCAGACTTTTGGAAAAAGTCTGTAAACTCTTCTGCTGGTGGTCTCTGTCTCCCACAGATGTTGCCAATGTTTGAGTAATTCTCTCTCGAGCTCAGCTTTTAAGAACGAACCCGGGAGAGGCACGTCAAAGTGTGCGAACGTGGGGGTCAGTTGCTGCTCTTTTGGCTAATGCATCTGCAATTTCATTACCCAGTATTCCAGTGTGGGCAGGTACCCACTGGAGTTCAGGCCTATAGTATTTAGGTGTTCTTAGTAAGAGTTTTTGTATGGCCCTGACGAGTGGATTTTTACTACATGTGCCTTGGATTGCCTGGAAGCTAGAGGCTGAGTCTGAATATATACTAGAATAGTTATTTTCCAGTGCGTAGACAAGTGCAGCTTTTAATGCAATCAGTTCAGCCTGAAAAACTGAGTTGTGGTGCTTAAGCTTTCTTTCCCAGGTCTTTAAGATCTGGTTCCCAAGTAGAACACAGTATCCGCTACCGCTGCCACATTCTCCTTTGGAACCATCGGTGTAGATTGCAGTGGTGTTGAACCACGTTGGTGACCTGCAGTTAATCGAGATGTTGAATTCGGCCGTGTGGCAAGGTGGCTCGGGAATGCTTTGCTCATAGTCATGAAAATTCTACCTTAAGTTAAGCCTCTTGCAGTAAGATATTGTTTGGTATTTCCATTTTCATAAACAAGAGTTTTGATACAGCCAGTTTGCTAATTCCTTCCAAGCACTAAAAAACTGAACCTATTCTTGCAATGAATGTTCTTCTGCATGTTGTCATTTGCCATTTGCCCCCCCCCCAAGTGAACTTGGACGCATCCGAGTTGTTAAGACTATAACCAGTATTTTTTTTTTTTTTTTTTTTTTTTTTTTTTTTTTTTGATTGTATCATCTGCCACTTTAATCTCATAAGCAAGTATAGATATAGCCAGGTTGCTAATTTCATACACAGTAAAATCTTAAACTACTATTCTCATAACAAAATGTTTTTCTTCATATATCACTTGCTACTTTTGTTCCAAAAGCATGCTTCAACATAAGTGAGTTATTTTACTATTATAATTATACACTAGTATTTTAGGATCATAATCATTTGCAAATTATGTTGCATAATTTAACAGCATCTTTCAATTTGTAAAACAAAGTCATAAAAATGTAAATTGTCAATGATATTTTTGCAGTACAGTAATCTTTTCCCTAACATAAACTCACTTAAGGCAAACACTCGGTTAATATGAAGAAAATTTTGGTCCCAATAGCGATGAACATGATCTTACAGAAAGTTTTATTTGTTAATGTGAATTTTGACTAGCATGAATCACAAACTGTCTGTTGATCACATTATATTTTTTCATTTAGCATAAACTTTCTCATTTTGCCCCGTTTCTTTCTCTGCTAGAGTTACAGAAATGCTGCATCCCATTTAATTGAAAAACTCACAAAATAAACTATATTCTTTACAACACTGCTCAACAAACATGATAATAGCATCAATTATGAGCTTCAATCAAAAAATGCAATTCTGTGTTCAGATGTGCTTTTTCATTTTTTAAAAATCAGCTGGTACAACTAGGGTTAAACCATTATGCTTCTGCATCAGGTTCTGGAATCACATCTATGCAATTTATAGTGCTAAGTATGAAGATGTGCCGCCCAGTCGGTATAGTGGTCAAGGAAGCTGACTGCGATGCCGACGGGTCTGGGTTTGAATCCCGGAGAAGGCATGGTTGTAACTATCCGTCCCTTCATAGGAAAGGTGAAGGTGGCCCACCTATTAGGTGCCTCCATAACAAAGAGACCACCACATCCGGCTTTGTATAGATTAATGGACTGGGTTACATTTGTAATTGTTCACAATCTGCCATTGGAAAAAAAAAAAAAGTATGAAGATGTTGAAAATTTACTTCTAGAATGGCTCAACCATATGCGCACTTCTAATGTACCTTAAAGTGGACCTATAATTCAGTCAAAAGCAAATGAGATTGCAAAAAATTTATACTTTCAAGGTTTCAGTTAATCCACTGGTTGGCTGTATCAATTCCCAAACAAAACAAAACAAACAAACAAACAAACAAACAAAAGGAGACAATTTCACCTTGAGTGATTTGTGGTCAAGTGAAGGCCGTGAAGAAGGAGCAAACAATTGGTTACATTAATTTGACCAAGTGACAGAAAAAAGCATGTTTTTTGTGATGTCTACAACATGGGTAAAAACAGACTTTTTTACAATCTTTTGCCAGTCATAAGATTTTGAGAAGACATGACGATGAAAACTTCTGGTGCCCCATTATACTTGCATCCAAACATGAATTAGTAGAAAGAATGATACAAGACTACCATTTACAAATTTTACATGCTCGTACTCAAGTTCTTTTGACCAATATTCGTCAAAAATTTTGGATAATAACAGGAAGAAAAACAATACAAAGAGCCATATCGATGTGCATTCGTTGCAAAAGACACTCAGCAAAAGCTCCTAATACAGTGTCTTGTCCTCTCCCAAAAGATCAAGTCAACAGATGCTTAGGCATTTGAGGTGACAGGTGTTGATGTAGCAAGACTTTATTTAAAAAATAGAAAAGCTTGGATCTTGCTTTTTACCTGTGGAGTTTAGCGTGCGGTTCATTTAGAATTAATTGAAAGCTTATCGACTAATGGTTTCTTCCTGGGATTTCAAAAATTTATAGGACAAAGAGGATGGCCTAGAGTAGTATACAATGAAAATGGCCCAAATTTTGCAGAGGCAAGGAATTTACTCCAATCTGTTGACTGGGACCAAATTATCAGAAGTTCTTCGACAATGAAAATTCAATGGAAGTTAAATCCACCAACCACAGCATGGTGGGGCGGCTGGTGGGAGAGACTGGTTCAGATGATCAAGAAATTATTGAGAAGAGTCCTGGGAAAAGCATTACTTTCACAACTCCAGACCATTAACATTATGAGTCAGAAGATTCCACCGATTTATGTGCACTCACTCCATCTATGTTTATTCAGGATGTTCGAACTGATGGTGTACCAGATCTGGACAGTTTGGCTAAAATTAACTTATCGAAAATATGGCAATACCACCAAAAATTATGTGTAGAATTTCATAAAAGATTAGAGATGAATATCTTGGATTGTTAGAACATCGACCAAGGACCGTACCTTAGCAAACCATACAGAAAGATGATTTAGTGTTTGTAGAGGACGACAGAAGGAAAAGAACAGACTGGCTTATAGGTCCTGTTGTAGAAATGTATCCTGGGAAAGACAACGAAGTACGTGTTGTCAAAGTGAAAACGACAGAGGGTGAATTCCTAAGACCTGTGAAATGTATTTATTCTCTCGAACTTGATAGACCTAACTTGTTTAGTGTCTTGAACATGAATAGAAAGAACTCTGCAGATGAGTGTGACAGTGATATGAACTATCAAACTAGATATGCACTTAAAACTGTAAAACCTGTTACGTATTTTTAAATTGCTATATTATTTTTTTTTTTTCTTTTCAGTATCTTAGAAGTTTAATTGTCCTAACTGTAGTAAATTGGAATATGTTATCTGGATATGGTATGAAAATGTTTAGATGTGTAATAGTCCTTTGTAAGTATTAATTTTTAGAACATTAGTTAATTTTCATATTTGTGAACTTTTGTTTGATTATTGATAAATTTTGTTTTGATTTTCCCATGTAAAATAAAAAGGTGGGGGGATGTACTATTCTTGCCACTAGATGGCAGGCATTCTTCCTTTCTTTCTCTGAGATTTGGGAACGAGATTAGATTTGAGCCGCTCTGAGGAGTGTGAAGATGAACTTAGGATTTCAAAACCAACTAAAATGTACTGTCGTTAAAGTAATTATCAACTATCATGTAAATACTGTAATTATAAAGATGTGTGAAAGTAAAAAGTCATTAAGACTTAATTGAAGTAGTGATTTGAATCGAATATAGAAATTGAAAGCTCTCCCAAATAGAACTACGGATATAGAATCAACAACAATCCTCATTTTTTAAAAATATTTTCTTTGTGTGTGCTTCTTGTTTCTTACGCATTAGATTTTTTGGCATTCGGTTCTTCATTAGAGTGGTATTCCCTCCATATATTTCAACAATAACCATGCTAACGATGTTCAATTGCTATCAATGAAATAAGATGCTGTTCTGTTCCTTTCAAAAAAGAAAATTTTCTCGCACACTTTGTGAGAACAATCATGAAATCAAAATATCCATTATGGAAATCAATTTCTTAGATCAAAATTTCCTTTTTTGATATTTTATCTGTTTTTCGGATAAAAATCAGAAAAGGTTAATCAGAAAAGTAAAAATCAGTTTTTCAGAAAAAAGTCAAATGGTACGTCAAAAAATTAACTATTTGTGAACAGCTTCATAAGGATGGTTTTTCAAAATATCTGTTCAAATATGCTAAAAGGTTGAACTAGTAGACCCAATAAGATTGTCAAAATTAGAGTGTTTTGTATGCAGGAAAACAATTCCAAAAGGATTGCACTTATACAGTGGATGCTCTGGTGTATGTAAGCAAAACAAAAGAGTGCTTCGTGGTTGAAAGTCTCTAACAAAGATGCTGAAACAATAAAATACATCATTTGGAGTCCTATCTTGCAGACTTTAGTGGCAAAAAAAAATAAGGGCTGGAGAATTGTTTCAAACCTATTTTTAAGACAATTTCAGAATTATGGTTTCCAAATATTTGTTTCTTTGATCAGTATGCCTTTAGTAAACTGGTTGCCTGAAAGATCTACAAATATTCTTATTTTTAGTAACATTACACAGTAAAGAATTAACAGTTAACAATTAAATTATACAGTAAAGAATTAATACCTTCCTCATCTGGTAGGTACTTGAAATCTCTCGGCTCACTGACTGCACCGTCAGTTATTCTGTATAGCTGAATTTTTACATCTTTTTCTACATTACTTTGGTATGGAGGTGTTTTAAAAGTAATAGCAACCTATAAATATACAATAAATTAATCAAGATTTCCTTGCATTTACATAATGTTATAGCTCTCAATTATGAAATTTTTAATTAGTAAATAGCAAGTGTGTTAAATTATATTAATGGAATTCTGGCATTTATGTTTAAATTTCATTAACCAAAGGCTGTTAAATGTACATCTTTCCTGTTTCCCTCATTTTGCCACAAGGTTCATACATTCCAAAATTTGTGCAGATTTAAGTAGCAAGCAGTTTTTCTATAAAGTTAGAAGAGTTACACATATCTCTGTGTAAGAGTTCTGATACTTTCTGCTGACATTGTCCTCACAGGGAAAATTCCTTTCTCTTGGCAATGCCAACACTGTTCTTAAACTCATTAGAATAGCACAAGGGTAGATTTCATTTGGTAAGCTAAGAGTTTGAATTACTGTTGAAGTTTAAATGAATCTTGTAGCTTTTGTTAGAATAAATTATATTGCTTGAAATTATAATAGTTTTAAGGAAGCTTGTGTTCCAGCCAGGTAACTGGTAATTTTGTGTTGTACAATTTAACCCTCAGAAGTTGTGAAGTAGAATAAATTTAAACATATTTCTGGGTCAATTTGTTTCCAGAATTAAGAAACTCTTTGTACTGATAATTCATTTCTTCACAGAATTTATGTCATACCTTCATTACATTGTAAGTTTAATTTAACCAAAGATAGGTGTGTTGCAGAATAACTGAAAATTTTCTTAGACACAATACAAATAAAACGCAATTAAAAAGTATCAAGAAATGCCGTTATAATCCAGCATATTAAAATAATTTCTCAATCAAAAAGATTCATCAAATAAACATTTGCATTCAATGAAATCAAAAATTTATTAAAATATGTTTTTCATTTTTTAGAAAATTTTAGCATAAACTATTCTATTTTATATTGCTTCTAGGGAGGTTCAAAAATGTTTCATATGCTGATGATATTCATATTAGCTACATGATTTTCACATAACACCTCCTTGATTTCACATTTTAAGGGAACTATTAATTCTAGAGGTTCGTGATCTACAGTGTCAGGTAGAGCAGCTTTAAAATTTTCTTCCCTTTGTCCTGTGTTTTTTCAATTCTTTTACTGCAAATGTTGAATAATTAACACACATAACAGCACAAAAGAAACTCAATATATTGTATATGATAAGCTGAACTAAACTGACAATTACTCAAATGAGTTTTAAATGAATATATAAACAGGAGTCTCCAAACATAAAAAATGGTTTGATAAACTTCTGGTCACTTAAATATTAACTAACAGCCTGGCTGAGCCAAAAAATGCATCTCTGAAGGAAAGTAGACTAAATTAGAACCTTTCACTAGAACTTTTCAATTAAACCTTTCACTAGAAGCCCTAAAAAGTCCAAGAAATATATTATTAGAGCATCATAAAGAGCTAAAGATGCTATAATTAAGAGACCATAAGACTGCAAAATAAATTTCATTTCTATGCCTATGAAATAGAAACTGTTCAGGTACTGAAACTCAAAGACTCACCATAACGGCAACAGTTTGCGAATGAGATGCTGCACTTCTAAGGAAAAAAAAATTTTGATATTAAAAATTTTGATACACATTTAAGAACATTTTTATCAGAGTTTAAAGGCATTTCTGACTGAAATTCAAGCTTTGTATTGATCTGTGGTGATAAAGTCATCATGCAAATCAATATGATAGTATTTCCCACAGACATCCAATCACATTTAAGTTTCGCAAATGTGCCGACTAAGCCATACAATACACAATTTTGATTTCGAGACACTTGGGACACCAATACGATACGACAGAAGTAAGCCAATTTGAAGTTATCTGTCTGCCGTAAGAGCATGATACAAATTTCAATATTTTTGTCTCGGAATTTTTTAACAGCTTATATCACTGATAAAGTTGTGTAGGTCAAAGTGACCTTTAGACAATGATATTACTATCTTAATATGGATTTCCTTTGATTTCGTCATGACTATTACATATCTTTGCCCCACTCTAGATTATAAAACGTTTAAAAAGATTTTCTAAAGAAAAATCTACACTCTGACAGACTACAGACAAATCTTCTGTTATCAATGGTATTCCAATAATAATGTTCTATGCACAACTGTAACAAGGTGACTCTCATAACCTAAATCAATGAGAAGCAAAGCACTGGTCATCGTCCAATAGAAACTTTTTTAACACATTGCCTCTTTTGTTGTTCCCCATTCTTTACTGCAAGAAATTTTTTAAACACTTAAGAATAGATATTAAAATTAACAATAAGTATAGATGTTTAAAAAATTAATAATTTTTTCCCTACTGAACAAATATTTATTACATAGAAGGAAGTTTAAAAAAAAAATTACAGCCTACTGACAAGTATACCCGCAGGAAGGATGTAGGTTTTAAAACAAGCATAACTCTCAGTTCATTCAAATTTTTGTTTGATCAAGAAATCCGATATCATTATTTAAAAATCACGGAAAAACTAAAACGAAGAATTGAATCTCTTGATTTTAAAAAGTACTCATTGTTACCATCTATATGATGTATGATCTAAAAAAAAATCAAATGATTTGGTGGGAAATCTAAAATTTACATAATTAATTACATTAGATATTAAAAAAATTCATTTAGAAGGATTTTCTGAGTTTAACCATTGGTGTTTATAAATTTTGCAATTATTAACTTGACCAATAAACAAGGATGTGTGAGAAAAACTCAACATTTTAAATCCACAATTCAAATTCAAGAAATCTATATCAAATTTTGAAAAATCTATGTAAACTAATATTTTATCATCATCTCCAATATACCGGGTGGCCATAATTAAACAGACTGTGCTCACAGTGTTACATAGCGCAATCTATTTGCGAGAATGACGCCACATTTTGTAGGAAGATTAAACAAGACGGGGGACGAAGGATTCCACGAAAAAAACAAACTAGTTCCAAAAGTCACCGCTAGGGGAATATTTGGTGCTGTGTAATAGAAAATAGAGTGTTAACAAATGCAAATTAATGCAGAATAAAATTACCTTTTATTATGAACATTTTCTGATTTAATTCAAGTGCAATATGGCAACATTTTTAAAAAAGCGTAAAATCTACATAAACACCGATAAAGTCTCAGGATCTGCAATATCATGTACACTGAGCAGAAGAAGAAGTTCTTTATACAAATTTCGCATTACATCCATTCGCACAGTGCTAGCTGCTTTGTTTTTAAAAGGCAATGTGTTACGTTTCGAATCAATCAGATTGAAAGTTTATGTGCAATGTCTCCTTCTTTAGTCGAGCGTGCATTACTGGTCAAATTCTTTTACCTCAACCAGTGCAAAGAGTCAGCCGCTCTTCGTGCTTTTAGAACGCACCAAAAAATGCGTAAAGGTAATGGTCCTGTGTCAGTTAATGGGCTAAAAGCAATGGTTGCGACATTTGAGAAAACAGGTTCTCTGAAAGTTCAGTCAGGCAGAGGATGAAAACCTGTACCACAGGATACAATCAAAGCAGTTGCCACGGCGATTGTCGACAGAGGACCAGACAATATTGCTACCATCTCTAGCGCTCGTGGAGTAGCTCGGAATATGGATATGCCTTACAGTATGGTATGGAAAATATTATGAAAGATTATTAACTTCTATCCATACAAGATCAGCCGTGTACAGGAGTTACTGTACCCCTGCCATGATAAGCGATTGACTTTTGCTCTCACCTTTCTTGCCAGAATGGAGGTGGATAATTTGGCCGTGGAAAATCTTATGGGGAGATGAGGCCCACTTTTACCTGAATGGAACTGTGAATACCCAGAACTGTCAAATTTGGAATGACAAACCACCACATGCAGTCACAGCAATTCCCTTACATTCACCAAAGGTAACTGTTTGGTGTGGACTCACAGCGGAATTTATTGTAGGTTCATTCTTCTATGAGAACATTACCCCGACCGGACCGGAAACCTGTTCTGTTACCGGAGAGAAATATCGCCACATGTTGAACAGCTTTGTCATTCTGGCACTTCAAAGACAATGCCTGGGGAAAATCATTTTCATGAAAGATGGAGCCCCTCCACACGTTGCTGTAGGGTGCAACAGATGCTACAACAGAAATTCACAACAGAAAGAGTCATTAGCCGCTACCTTCCAACTGCATGGCCCCCTCGGTCGCCCGATCTTACCCCATGCGACTTCTGGCTATGGGGTTACCTTAAGTCCAAGGTCTATCAAGGAGTGGTCCAGCACCTGGCTGTTGAAGGATAACATATCACGGACTGTACAGGAGATTCTTGCAAACATGTTACTTTCTGCTGTTGTGCATACTGTGCACAGAATGCAATATGTGGTCCACAACAACGGCAGCAACATTGAACCTTATTTGAATGCAAAATAAAAGGTAATTTCCGTATTGATTTGAATCTGTTAACACTCTATTTTCTATTACACAGCGCCAAATATTCCCCTTGTGGTAACTTTTCAAACTAATTTGTTTTTTCGCGGAATCCTTCGTCCCCCGTCTTGTTTAATCTTCCTACAAAATGTGGCATCATTCTCTCAAATAGATCACGATACAGAACACTGTGAGCACTGTCAGTTTAATTATGGCCACCCGGTATATGCATGAAAAACACTAAGAAAATATTACAAAGGAGCAAAAAATCTGTGTCTAGATTTGATCCAAATTAACAGACAATTGAAATAAATGAAAATCAAGCAAAGTAACCAAATGACTTCTGATAAGACATAAATATAAAACAATTTTTCTTCACTACAATGTAGTAAATAAAACACAAAAAAGATTTAACTAAATAAAACTCAAATTTAACTGGAATACATCTAGTAAAATACACAGAATTTTTTTAAGATTCCTATTAACAACATCACTTAAAGAAGACTTTCAAGGTCACATGGTAAAACATTAGTAAATAAAACTCAATGGATATAATATGGAAATCATCAAATTCCGTTCCAATGACTTATATTAAATGAAAGTTTAGAAAACCTATGTTTTACAAAATATTTAAACGTTTTTCTAAATCTTTTTCATTTTTCTTCTGTTAATGGAAAGGTATGAAATTTTGTGATCTTTGATTACTTAACAAAAATATGCTTAAATAGAGCTAAATATAGTAATCCATTTACTTCATCTCATTAGCAGCCATTTACTTCCTCTTTGACATTTTAATTTGCTTTTTGTATGAAATGCTGATTTTTTAGATGATGAGAAAATATTAATATGGCACAAACTGGCAGTTGTCAAGTGATCAGTAGTTGCAAATAAACTCTTCTAAAACAAAAGTATCATCCACATGAAAGACTGCTAAAAAAATAATAATAAATAAAACACCAAAATGTCCTTGAAAGGAAAGATCATTCTGTGAGAAGAAAGGTACAAAAACTCAAAACCAGTTTGAAGATCCAAGCAAGCTATACAATCTATTTACTTCTAGTCTCAAAAACTCACAACAGTACAACAGTAGACTGATAACTGCAAGAAATAATGAAAGATTATATAATAATAGATTGGAATAATTACATACATTTTCATTTTATAAATTTCAAGTAAAATAATCATGTGAATTCCTATTTATAAATTTCTAAATTATTTCTTTTTGTAGCCCAAAAGAGCTATTAGAGTCAAAACACAATTTTGCATTATTTCATTTCATTGTGTTGCTTCACTTTTCATTATAATCTGTTGCCATTCAAAAAAACATAAGATACTTGTCTTTCATATTTAATTTGTCTGTTATTATTTAACTAGCTAACATACTTAAAAGCAATAGATGCAGTTCTTAAGAATAGTTTAATATTTTTTAATCTGATTGATTTAAATAAAATTGTATTTAATTCATGATATATCTAATTAGCACCGAGTATTTTTAAAGAATTGCGAGGGTTATTCGGAAACTAAGGTCAAAATTGCCTTGGCTAATCAAATGCCATATGAACATTGAAACATGCATGTGTACCGACTCCCAACATGCCTTGCTCATCAAACGACGTCATTTGCATTGGTATTGTTGTAGTGTATTGCATACAGTGCCAGTTCAAAATGTTTAAAACAACTGATCAACTTGTTGACTGTAAAAAACCACCAGTCATTTGGTTTTAGACAGCAAGGAACAGTTCAGCAGCAGAAATTCATCGACAGATAAGCGATGCATATGACCTCAATGCAATGAGTAATAACAAAGTGCATAGATGGGGGAGAGCTTTCAAAGATGGACAAGAAAATGCCCATGGTGAACCATGATCAGCCCAATCATCAATTGATCACAGAAGATTTGGTCGATGCTGTGGATGAAAAGATTAGTAAAGACCTGTAATTCATAATTTCAACTTTAGCAGTGGAATTTTGGAATGTGGCTAGAACGACTTTGCACAAAATTATCTATGAAAACTTGCAATTTTACAAATTGTGCACATTTGAGTTTCCAGGCTGCTTACTGAAGAACACCAAATGAAAAGAATGACATGTACTCTTGATTTCTTTGGCCCAATAACATTAAGGTAGGTGATCATATTTTAGACAGGATTGTCAGAATGGATGAGATGTGGGTTTCTCACTTGACCCTAGAGTCTAAACATCAGTCAATGGAATGGCATCACCAGTCAAAGCCAAGCAGATAATCTCAGTACTCAAGATTATGGCAACTGGGTTTTGGGATAGACATAGAGCCTTGTTAGTTGAGTTTATGCAGCAAGGGATAACAATAAATGCATCCATTTAATGCGCTACCCTGATTAAGCTTAGACATGCAGTACAGAATAAGCGATGTGGCCTTCGGACAGCTGGAGTTTCATTGGTGCATGACTAGGCCTGATCCCACTCTGTCATTCCCACCCAAAATCTGATCTTTCTTTTTTGTTGTTGTTGTTGTTTGTTTGTTTTTTAATGGGAACAGACTGACCACCCATGATTCATCCAGTCGTGGCACCGAGTGTTTTCACTTGTTTCACCACCTAGAGGAGTTTCTCAGAGGCAAATGCTTTGCCACAAATCCCAAGGTGATGCAGTTCAAGACTGGTTATACTCATAGGTGATAGATGTATATGACTTAGGCATAAAAAAGCTTGTAGAACAGTATAACTAATGTTTTTACAAAATATGGAAACTATGTAGAAAAATGGAGAAACATGTAAAGAATTAAATAAGAAAAGTTTTTTGAAAAAAACCTATGATAGTTTACATTTTATAAGAAATCAGCCCTTACTTTCCAAATAATATGTACATTACATACTTTTTCACTTTTTAAATATACAGAAGGTATATAAACTTCCCCAGTTAAAATAAATTCATATTTATCTTACAGCCAATAAAATACTTTCCTATTTCACCTGGTCCATCTCTATCAATAATTTCTATTAATAAGCCATATTATACTTTAAAAGAGGCCTTTGGGGTGATTGTTAAAATCAAAACCCTTACAGATCTTTTTTTTTTTTTTTTTCCTTTTTTTTTTCTTTTTTTTTTTTTTTTTTTTTTTTTTTTTTGAAGCTGTGTATTATATCTTTACGATTGAGATTCCCATCTCCATTTATATTCCATGCCAGTATTTATGTCTAGAGCTAAGTAGCATCCCGTTAGCAAAGATGTACCCATTTTTAATTTTACGATAGAACCTGGCTTTCAGCATCATCTATCTGTCTGTTCCTGACCAACTGTCTTAAATCCAAGATTATATGACTAAAAATCATACTATTCTTTCATGCGATTTTCACAGATTTAAAAAACAACTCACTTGGTAATGTACATCTGCCAAGTTAAATGTTCCTTGATCTGTCCATACTTCATTATAATGTTCGTCGACTTCGAAAAACTTTACACGTATATCTTCTATTAAAAGAAAGAAAACGGTGAACTATTTTGGAACAATAAATTGCCTAATATTTTTTATATTTAATAATTAAATACATTTAAAGTACACTCGGAAAAATATTTTCTTTCTGCCTTAAAAGTGAAACAGTGGCAAGGAATAGGTAAAGGTACCTTTAAACAAGGCTTGCATCTGTCATTTCTAGGAAGAGTCACTACAGTAATCATCTTCCAGGAAGAATCACTGCAGTAATCGCCTCTAAAAGAATGCCTGCACCATTAACTCTTCCACACCAACTGTTACACATAGGTGCCAGCAAGAAACACACACATCTTTTAGCCGGCATGCTGGCGTGCCAGACCATTTTCTCATTCACCCCTGGCCATATCTGTACCAGAGTCCTGAAATGGTTTAAAAACCACTAGAGATAATCCTGTGTCCATTAATTTTAAACTGACTACAGTTTTAGGATCTTAATCTCCAATTTGATCACATTCTCCATAATGTTGGTCTGGATATAGCATATAAAAAACTTGAATCGCTTATCATAATGTTTCACATCACATCAACATTTTTCATCCTTTTTAAAGTCATGTATCATGGCATTTTTTTAAACCTGGATCCTGTAACTTTGAAAATATGCCACTTCCTGCTGGCTCAAATATTAATCATTTTCTCAAAATGCGAGGAAAAATGAAACTTAATCCTTCTTTTAAGAAATTAAATGGTTAATTGATAATTAATTGAATTTCCATTAAACCAAAATTAACTTTTCATATTTTTGTTGTGACATCATGCTTAACCATTACTGGCACTAAATCATACTATTTGATGAAAAGACATGTGTGTTAAGAACATCACGAGCTCTATAGTGATTAACAAATCTCTACTAAATTTTTTGGAGGAAAACATACTCTAAAATTCTTATGGTAAAGAAATAAAGGACTGTACCTTGTCCCCACATTATTCCAGATAAATATTGCAACCATAACAAGAATTTTGATAGAAGCATAAAGACAACAGATACTGCCTGTTGAATGATGACACATCTGAGGTCTTGAAAAAATGAACAATTTTTAATGTGTGCTATGTCTGAATAAGTTCTTGATGAATGCTGATTAATTATTTAGTGTGTTATAATCAATAGTGATCTGCATCAGGCTTTTTTGGCAGCAACAAAGGCTTGTTTGGCATTTTTGTTCCAATTTAATTGTGTGGATGAATCTTGAACACTAGAACAAAATTCACTCACACTAATATGTACTTGTAAGAGTTTTATTTAATGAGAAAGAATATATGCTGGTTTAGGCATGAAACATCTGTAAAAGTTAAGCATGCCAAAACAATGCCAATTTTTTTCCATATTTCAATTCTACGACTCAAATTATGCCAAACCGCCAAGTTTTGTAAAAATCACACAAGTAGTTTTTAAAAAATTATCTCTCAAAATTTTAGCTCCTCACTGTTAATCGAATTTGGTATATATTTATCAATTTCTCTTTTTTATTAAACTTATTTGATTCTTCCTTTCACATTTTGAAATTTAGGTTCATTTCAAATAAAATTCCCCCATTTTTCACGATTTCTTTTTTAAATTTGTACTTTTAAATAATTTTTACAAATTTTTCAAAAAATTTCTGAATTATAATCTACAAAATTTTTACCTTCATCCTAATACAGATGTATTTCTAAGCATACCTGCATCAAATGTAGTTTATGCACTTTATTACAATTATTTGAAAGTAGGAACAATATGACTTTTTTCTGCTCATGTACAATTTAAAAAGAGAAAGGAAGGTTGCCATACATTAAGCCAAAAAAAATGCACAAAGATAAATTTTTGAATTTCTCCAAAAATTTTGTACCAAATTTTTCAAAATTTAATTCTAAGCATAATTTGCGTCGTAGAATCGAAATATGGAAAAAAATTGGTATGTCATTTTAGAAAAAGTCCGATTTTGTGTCAAATACCTATATAAGAACAATGCAGTATATAAATCTATTGTATATCCTAAGTCACGCTTTCGAGACATGAAAAACGCAATTTGAATTTTGTTAATCGACACAGCAGAACGGGAGATACAGAACTGTCTCCTTTTTTATGGCAGTCCTATGAATATCGTCGTAGGACCTGTAAATAACATGAGATGGTCCTATGAATATTATAAGGTCAATACAATTTAGAATTTTACAATTTTATCTTTTATTGTTTGGACATTCAACACATGATAATCACCAACAAGTCTCCATTCTAAAGATGCCTTTTTTGAAGACAAGTGATACAGGGATATGTAATTGCTTCTTGAAGATCTTAAACGCCCCAATTACATCATAGTTTGAAATTCCTGTTTTTATATGTTTAATTTTCTATTTCTTTAAATATTTAATCTCAATAGATAGATCAATTGTGTGGGAAAGTGTAAATCCTTATGGTTGGTTTTACTTCTAAGATTCTATCCACTATTTCTGCAGCTTTGTCTAAAGTTAAACCTGAAACTGTGGCCAACGATTGGTACTGAATGGTTGAAGGCTCAAGGAATTCTAACAAATATGAGGAACATTTAAGGATTCTACTTGATGTTTCATATCTCTGAAGTAAATCAAACAGCTTTCAAGGACCTAATTTCTCTCCAGATAAGAGCTAACATAATTATTGTTGGAAAGATTCTCCCAATAGATTTATTAACTTAGTTTAGAATTTTGTGTCAGAATCAGTAGAGTCTTGTTTCATAAAATCCCAAACTAATGATGCAATATCTAGAGAAAGATGACAAACTACATAATTATATTTGGTAATCGAGTCTGTGATAAGTTTGGAGGTGGCAAGAGCAAATATACTTTCACACATAATAAACCATAAGACTGGGTCTGACAAACAAACCAGAATTTGGACCAAATTCCAAATTCTGGTTTACAAACAAAAATTAATTATTACAAACCAGAATTTGGACGGCATGTAAATCGGACACTGTGCAAGGTTTAAGCCGAAATAAAATTAAAAATTAGAGTAAAAATAAAATATGAATGGTAAGTAGAAAATAAAATTATTAAATGATCTATAATTAATACTAATCCATGTATATGATACCATCCAGAGGATGAAAGTTAACACAATCCAATACTTTTGGTTTTGAATCTTGAGAGATGGTGAGTCGTGAAAAATGAAAGTATTTGCAAACTTTTTCACAAGACCTTATTTAGCAATGCCCAGAAGTCATCACTTATGGTGTGGTGAAGATCACCACAGCCTACAGCACATTAAATAATTCCTGCGCATTCATTAAGAACTTTAATCACACATAATAAATATTATAAATTGTTCTTTACTTCAAGACTTCAAATGCATATCATTCAACAGCTGATCTCTGTCCTCGGAGAACTTCTACAAAACTTCTTTATAAGGTTGCTGTATTTATTAGCAACAACATGGGGGGTAAGGCATTTATTAGCAACAACATGGGAGTTCCTTTACTCACCCCATTCCTGATAATTTGATCATCTTTCTACAATAAAACATTTTTTAATGGAATGCAATATTCTGTTGCCTTAAGAGTAGTTTTTTTCCCCCCTTTTGGCAAAAACTTTGTCATTTCTAATAGTTCCTGATGAAGAGCACTCCTTTTTTAATTATTCTTCAGTCAAAGAGCACTAGTACGATACCTGTTTATACAGGAATAATCTTCTTCGGAAGTGGAAATTATTTCAAATATATTACAATTTAAATACAAAATTATCTTTACAATGATAAAGAGATCATGATAAATTAGATATATATAAGAGATCTGAAACAGAGGAATATTGAATATACATATTCATTCATAATGATACACATTTTACCTTATGTAGTCAGACACCACAATTTCTTGGTGTCACATTTAATACAATATGAGATTTATTTACTTTCATGTATTTTTTGTGTACATGTGATCTATCTTATTTTGAATATTTATTATACTACTGGCTTTAAGAAGGCCTCTTTTGCCTATTGTTTTATGAAACCAGTAATGAAAAATAAGCATCTACAGAAAATCAGCCCACAAGTGGCTCAACAGCAATAAGACTTGAACACTGATAGTTTGACCAGGTTCAAATTATAGGAAATAGGCTGCAAATTATAGGAAATAGGCTGAGTGAATAGGCATACCAATTTATTTTCCATGATACCACCTACCTTCTCTGAGGTAGATAGCCCACAAGTATACTTCATCATAAAACAATAAATCCAAAATCTGACTGATGCACCTTTGCTAATGCTAATGTTTTATATGTGCATGGTATATTCTATGTTTATGCTTTCTATTCACTCAGCCTATTTCCTATAATTTGAACCTGGTCAAACTATCAGTGTTCAAGTCTTATTGCTGTTGAGCCACTTGTGGGCCGATTTTCTGTAGATGCTTATTTTTCATTACTGGTTTCATAAAACAATAGGCAAAAGAGGCCTTAAAGAAAAGATAACAATAGGCATAAACAATAGGCAAAAGAGGCCGTAGTATAATAAATATTTAAAATAAGATAGATCACATGTACACAAAAAATACATGAAAGTAAATAAATCTCATATTGTATTAAATGTGAGACCAAGAAATTGTGGTGTCTGACTACATAAGGTAAAATGTGTATCATTATGAATGAATATGTATATTCAATATTCCTCTGTTTCAGATCTCTTATATATATCACAGCTAATATGTGTATGGAACTGAAAAGGAATGATATAAAATTATATCTAAGGCTCTGGCAAATGTCATAACCAGGAAATGAAATACGGTTGCATAAGCACAAACACTGCTTGAAACTATAACACCTCTTTTCTCAAAAATGCTAGAAGCTGACCTTACCAGCTGAGAAATTTATGATGTTGCTTTTTTGAATTGCGTGTTAGGTTAGGTTATTTAATTATGTGAAAGCCTCGAGGGCTATCTGCCTAAGGGGAGGGATGCCTTCGTGGAGGTAAGGGAAACTGACTTGTATACACATTACACATGGTGAATTGCATGTTATGCCTCAATATTGGTGATCATACTTCAGTATTGTGAATGTAGAACACGGACAACGCCGTAAACACACCACTGTTAATGCTCATCAGTATTTGCAAATTTTGCTTAGAATATATTCCTAGAAGGCTACCTTAGTATGACTGCCATAAATAGAAAAATTCATGGTAATATTAAACTGTTAACTGTTGAAATCATTCAGAAATTCTTCCAAAAGAGGAAACTTTCTGCACTCTTATAAAATCTTTATTTTATAACCTGACTTTTTTTTTCCCCCTTTTTTCTCTTTTAACATTCAGACTGAGAACTCAAAACGGCATTATTTTTAATACTCTAAGCAGTCATGAAACTTAAGACATGTTGAAACATCTACAGGGACAAATGCATTATGGAAGGAATGAAAACCTTCTCTTTGCTGAATGCATATCTATTTTCAAATATAAATTTATTGTACCTGCACATTGTAGAAATATATAAAGAGACAGATATATTAAATTAACAGATTAGAGATATTAAATTAAATAAACAAAATATTAAGTTAAATTCAGAACACTCTATCCTTATGCCAAAATACAGCTTTAAATTATTAAGTTTAGTTTCATCATTAACTTAACAGTTACCAAAATTTGTAACAGAAGAAATTTAAAGGATAAAACTTGACAGCACTAAAAATTGACAAAATATCCTTCATTATAATTACACATTTTTTCACAGACAAAACTAGAAATATTTGCAACTATAAAAATTAATGATTTCAAACAATAAATTACCTTTCCGCACTCTGTCACATAACAGAATAACTTCATCCCCTCCTTGGCAGCTGCCAGACACTCTACTTAAACGATGTATTTTTAACTCCCCAGCAACAGATGATTCTGAAACATGTTCAAAGTTATGAGAAAACAACCATTACATTGCGATTACAACCAACTTAGAGAAATAAGTCACCCATGACTAAAAACATCTGTTTTGAAAACTTAGACGAACAACAAATCAAGAATGCAGGAACTTTCATTCTGAACAGCTAGCTGTTCCTTACTGTTTACAACACCAGTCAGCAATGGCAGCAATACAAGCTGTGTTGTGGAAGTTCTGTATTCATACAATAGTTACAAAATTAAAGGAATGGAAGTGTCAAATGTGTCTGGTCATAATTTAAGACTTTTAAAGAATAAAAAATCACTTTCATAAATCCTAATAATTATTAAGGACTTTTAAAAACATACAAAATCCCATTAATTTTCATTTTTTTGCAAAAATAATACACATTTCTTCACAAACGAGTTAAGCTGTTATTGCTAAATTTATCTCATTTAGCAAGCCAACAAAATGCACAGTAATTGATTTTGTCCAGCTTCTTGTTTCTGTCATTTTCTCCCACTGTTCTAGAGGAAACTTAATCCTGCTTACAAGGACTGTATATTGAAAATTAAGAAGTATGAATGTTTTTTTCCTTCAGCATCCAATTTTGCATGAAGACACACTTTGTATGTTAAGGATCAGTAAGTATTTCAGAAAATAAAATCTCTTTCAAATCTTTAAAACACACTTTACATCCAAAACAAAAAAAAAAAAAAAAAAAAAAAAAAACACTCTGTGGTGCAACAGCCCTAGTGGGCCAAGGCCTGCAATGCCCCGAAATCTGCTTTCTTATTCGTGGGCTCCGGGGTGCATGAGCATATGCCCTGAGCAAGTGGTCAGCTTGGTCGCAGTCCCCCCCCCAATGTTTACCCCAAGCGAACTTGGTAATCATTTTATTGACACACTCAAATAATCCAAAACTATCAGAGCAAAAACTCTTCCCATCAACAGAATTAAAAAAAATTAATACAAAATGAAAAAGGGAAAAAAATAATCAAAACATAATCAGATGCATAAAACAATAATTTCAAACCATAAAAAATTTTTTAACTAATAAAAATATATACAAAAACACATACAGAAATTTAGTGTCCATACGTTGTAGTTACTGTGCACTATAAGAGTAAAAACAAACTCTAAATGACAATTTTTATACAACAATTACTACATTTTTTGAGAGAAACAAAAAGTATAATCGAAATTAAAATTGACAATATAATTTAAGCCAAGATTAAATATCGGGAATCGAAAGGTAATATTTTAATTGTTTGCACAGAAGCTATAAGTGATACTTTTGAATCAACTACTGATTATATACAAAATACAGTTTTAAGAAGATCCTAGATTTTAATAAAGTTAATAGACAAAAGTGAAAAACAGGAACTCACTCTGGTTATAAACCGATCTGAAATACTGTCAGATGAGGAGGGTCACTTCATAAGTCCAGCAAAGTTTTACCGCATTCAAAACCTGCATGCTTTTGCAACCCTCATTTCTCATATTTTTGTGCAATTTCCTTTCTAAGAAGTGGAAATAAGAATAAACACTTTGCACTAAATTATATCGATCGCTGATCCCCCTTTCCCACAAAAACTTAATCAGCAGATAAAAAAAACAATTTTTAGAGCTTAATATCATTGCATTTTATACAAAACTTTATTGCCACCTTATCAGTGCTGCAGATTGATAAAATGCAAATTTTGTAAAAAAAGTTTTGATGAGAATCCAACAAGCGCAAGAATTTCAAGTGATCCTTAAAAAAAAGATCACATAGGAGAGTGGGATTCTCCAATACCAATAACCCTTTGATTCCTTGAACTTCTCCCATCTGAACAGTTTAATAAGTCTGAAACCTGCATAGAGGGAAAAAGAGAGACTGCCAGCAGCGTGTTGGCGACAAGTGGATCCTTCAATTGGAATTTGGCTATACAGTCAAAATCATTATTCGGAAAGAGCTAATCGGACCTAACTCAAAACTTTATGCATGGCGCGTTCACTGCGACAGGCATTAGCGGTGGCACGAAGACCTTGACTACTTGCATATGCGTGCGCAAGCAGACTGTTTCGCGCCTGCGCGGACAAGTGTTAACGACAAACTAAAATTATCAGTTATGTCAGTAATGATTGGGTATTCCTAATCTGAAATGGATCGCTTAATATTTTTGCATCCCAGAGCAATTTATAAAAAAACTGACTTTTCGATTACGGAATAGGATGGCTGGGAACTCCAACGATCCCCGAAACGAAAGTATTTTGATGTCCACCAAACAAAAAAGGACTGCTGCAAAATGGATGCGACAAGATGTGACAGAGAGTTATGAAACGAAAATTCAATTGACAAGTTAGTCGGATTCTCGCAAGAAAGCATGAACGGACTTGACAGCGAATTTGAAAACAGAAATTAAGAGAGAAGTAAAGAAAGGAAACATAAAACAAGCAACTTAAACACTTACTTGAAAAAATTTAATAAAGTAAACAAAAATATTAAGCTTTTTTTTTTTTTTTTTTTTTTTTTGGTTTTGATGCTCTTTCTTTATATCATTGGTTCTTCATAAATTATGGGTTTCATTTTTTAATTTAGAATTCTGCTGCCATCTTACGAGATTTAAACTGATGATCTGTAATCCGGAATCGCCGAAGTCCCGATGAACGACTTTTCACTGTATATAGCTTTTATTCACTGCGATTGCAACTGCAAACTCTTAAAGGTTACTAATGTGTGTACTAATGGAGCAATGATATTTTAAACAATATTGTTACAAATTTTGCACATAGACAGATGATTTTAGTACAGTTATATGCAAAATTGTTGTATTTTTCTGTGTAATGTAACATGAAAGATCTAAGAGAGAAGCTATGCCGGAAAGGTAAGAATACAGGAGCAAGTCCATTTAACATCAAGTAAATGGGTATCTCGGTAATTTGGCAAGATACCGGCCAAGCTGGCAACAGTTTTGGAGACTAATTTTGTCACAGTTTCGCAACAGTTTTGGAGACTTATTTTGGCGACCACTTGGTAACATTTGGGTCTGGTCCCTGTATTACCGTAATAGGTATTGTAATTGAATAAATGTAAATCATCACTGTTATTAGCTGTAACCGTAATTTGATTCTCATATTGCCTTCCAGTAATTTCAACAAGCAAAAAGTTTTAGAAATATCTCAGGGGCAGATGAAAGCTACCGTCTTTTTCCGAAAATAAGACACTGTCTTACTTCTTTTTTGGTCCAAAATACGCGCTAGGGCTTATTTTCGGGGGGAAAAAAAAATAAATTTTATTATTTAATATTTATTTTACACAGAATACAGAAATTTAAATTTATTCAATTACAGTCATGTCATCTTCTTCTGGAACATCGTCATAAATAAAATTCTGAATTATATTCTGATTTTCTTCCAAATCCATTTCCTGTTGAATCATTGGTCCGAATCTCTCATGTCTTGCGATATAGCTATCGTTAAATGAATACTTCTTGTCTAAGTAGCCTGTTCGTAGTGCATTGGAAACATCACTATCAGTTATTTTGTCCCATGAATTTTTACCCAATTCACAAATTCTTGTAAGCCTGGTTTTACAAAATTACCTCGATGATTTTCTCACCATTCTGTTTTCAATATATTCATTGATTTCCATCCCACAAATGATTCCTTGAATGGCTGTTTTGCTGATGTTCATAATTATAATACACGTTAGCTTAGAGGCTTCTCCTGACGCCGGCGTTCGCGTTATCCGCGCGGTGATGAATGATGACGAACTGTTTATTACGTATGTTGTATAGTAACATTCTTCTCTCGCCCTTTTTTTTCTGCTGATCAACTTGTTTAAGTTAATCTCTGTCATTAAAAATGTTCATTGATATTACAATCTATTTAGGCTTATTTTTTCTTCAATGGTTATGGGCCCAGGAACGTTTCAACTTGCTTAATTAACAAAATACCTATTTTAAAATGAACATTTTGAAGTTTTCGAGCATGAACTCTTAGCCTATTCAGTGCAAGAACTGTTACGTCCTCAACGGTAAGAACTGATCAGCGTTCGTTAAGCCTTTTTATAGCGCTCAATCTTGTTTTTTTTGGCTGTGAGAGACTGTATACATTATGTCGCATTTGACTATATAGAAAAGCTCGAAAAGATAATTTTGACAGTTGGAAATTACAAATAGAAGCAGATTAAAAACGACCATTGGGATATTTACCGGTAAGGCTAAAACCTGCTGAAGGAACCAAGACGAAAAAAATGGCTCCAAGGTGATCAAAAAGCTCGCGCAGATATAATTCTTGCTATTATCTAGTGAACTGTGTCTATAAAGCATGGTGTGACATCAAATGCTGTGTGGATACACTCAAGCCGTATATGAATCGAAGACCTGCGAAGAAGGCTACAATTATTAAAACAGCTTTTATTTAAAAAATGGTGGAAACCGAAACGATGTCTGAACATTGAATAATTTCTTCGAAATAGTTGATAAGCTTAAACCAATGAAATTGACATAGCTGATGATTTATTATCGATTTCTTCTGCCTATAGTATTCCAAAATTTGAAATTTTAGATGCGCATCGAATCAAGAGACAGTTACCTAGTCCCGAATCTTTGAAAATCAAAATGTTAGAGAATGGGAAGCAAGAAAGGGAAACTCTCAAGATTCACGAATGCATACTATACTGATAAAAAAAAATCAATAACAAAGAAAAATGAAATGGAAGGTGAATTCAAACAAAAATTTTCCAGCTGAAAGAATTTTCGAACTTGAAGTGTAATTACTGCTCGAAAATTGGGCACAGGCATCTGAATGCAGAAAGAAAATATCTGAGAAAATGTGTGCAATCAAATAATGGAAATCAAAGGTTCTATGATGCTTCTAATTATGAAGAGCAGATTAGTTTTTAGCAGTAACAATGCTTATCAGAAGACCTCCTCATGTGCAGATAGTGGCGTACACTCACTGTGCAATGACAGAAGGTTATTTTCAGAATTCACCCTCGAACGAATTCAACCATAAGTTGCATTAACAAAACAGAAAAATACAGGAATTGGAGCTGTCCTTATCACAGTACCTAACGGAAATAGACAATTAAACTTACGCTCAAATGTGTTATGGTTCGGATTAATGTAATTTGCTGTCAACATCTAAAGCTACTGCAAATAGTTCAGTGATTTTTACAGAACGACAGCTATGAATAATAGAACAAATGGATCTAACTAGTGCGGCTATTCGTCATGGTGATCTTTATTATATACTCCAAGCACTGAACACTGCAATAGCACAGGTAAGTGATTTGTAAAGTGGCATCTTAAATTAGGTCATTAATGAGTCTGATTGAAAAGACTTAAGTCTGATAACATGGTTAGAAATTTAAATTTTAATAACACTAATCTCTAAAGACTGCAAAGTCTGTATCCGAGGTAAACAAACTGTGCAACCTTTCAAAAGAATCAAATTTCAAAGGAATGAATTACTGAACTTGATCACTCAGTTGTGTGGACCTATGAGAGTCCCATCCATGCTGGTTCGGTTATTTTGTTACTTTCATAGACGACAAACCGTCATGTCGAAGTCAGTTTCTTAAAACTAAAGATGAAGTGAAAATGCATTCATTAATACAAAGCTGCGGTCGAAAATCTCTAGGAAGAAAATAAAATCCTTCGACTGATAACGGTCTCGAATATCGCGGAAAATTTAATAAATATATTCAGAAGCGGGATTAAACGAGAATTCCTGCCACCAGAATCCTCAACAGAATTCGAGAGCATGGCCATATTTTTGTTACACAAAGTAATCTTCCCTCAATCCTTTTGGGCTGAAGCCTTGACGTGCTGTTTTTATTCGTAATCGTTGCCCGAATCGAAGCCTGGGAGTAATACAAAACCGTTGAATTATTTTTGGCATCAAGCCAACTGTATCTCACTTCAAGTATTTCGGACAAGGTTTTGTATTAATAAAAGGTCTAAAGGGAAATTCGATCCCGTTCAGAAGAACAATACTTGTGGATACTCAAATGAATCGAAAGCATACGGCTGTGGAATAAAAATTCCAGAAAAATCGTTATAAGCGAGATGTAGATTCATTGATGAATTGAAAACTCTACTAATTATGATAAGATTAGAAGTTTTATTTCTCGAAATATTCCGATAAAAAGAAGAAACCTCTGAATGTAAATCAATATCGCTGATAATAACAGAAGACCCTCAAATGTGGCAGAATCCTCTGCTGAATCATCTGAAATGAAGATTCTTATTCCAAAGCACTACTTGAAATGCGATTAAAAGGGGCCAGGGGGCCAGTCGTCAAGACAAGACGGAGCCAGGAAGACCAAAAAAGGAGTACCCACAATATAAACTAGAAAAGGAAGAAGCAAATTGCTGAAAGATACAAATCCGACATTAGAAAAGCATTAAATGGAAGTTATGCTGAAGAATGGCAAGGCTATGCAAAGTGAGTATGAAGCACTTGTTAAAAATGGTGCTGGAATTAGTAAAGCGACACACACAAAAAGGTAATAGGATGTCCTGGTTCTTGAACGAAATATAATTGCAGATGGAACATTCAAAAGAGAACTCGATTGGTTGCTAAGGATTGCACAGGAACCTGGAATGATTTTAATGAACCTTTGCTCCAGTAGCCAGAGCAAGTTCTATAAGAACTGTGATGTTTACAGTGCTGAACAAACCTTTTTAATCAACTAGATTTTGTTATGGTTATGTTAACGGAGATTTAAAAGAAGAATTTCATGGAACAAGCTAAGGTTTTGAAGACCAAAATATCCTGATTATGTTTATGCTTGGCAAAAGTCTCTTTATGTTTTGAAACAAAGGAAGACAGTGGTATGAAAAAATTAGACAAAAACTCAAAAACTATGGATTACAACCATTACAATCGATAAGTGTGTATACAGGATTAAACATCTCAAGGTGATAATTCTAATTTTATATGTTGATGACTTAATAATAGCACAAATAGCTGTGATTTATATGCTGAACTTAAGTTATCTTCTAAAGAATTCATGTTAAAGATTTAGGCAAACTTCATTATGTCTTGAATAGAATTTAATCAAGATGTAATAATATTCTATGTTTATCTCAGCAGAAATATTTGTGATAATATTCTACGAAGGTTTAATATGCAAGATGCAAAACCAGTAGCACTCCTTTAGATCCTAGTGTAAAGTTAATAAGAATGTGTCCTTCTGAAACTGAAAAGGAAGAATGAACAATGGACCTTATCGCCGTCTAATTGGTTCGTTAGTATCTTTCTGTGTTTACTAGGCCGGATATTACATATGCCGTCAGTCACCTGAGCCAATTTAATAACAATCCTGGAAATTCACTGGTGGCTGCAAAGCGCGTTCTTCGATACTTAAAAGGAAAAAATTATTGTTTTAAAATTTCGAAAGACTGGAAAAGCACTTATTGGATATACTGATGCCGACTGGGCGTCTGACATAATACTAGAAATCGTATACAGGTTACCTATTCAAGCTAGCTGGAAATCCGATAACATGGAATCACGAAAGCAACAACTGTTGCTTATCAAGTACTGAAGCAGAGTACATCAGTCTTTCAGAAAGTGCCAAAGAAGCGTTTATTTACGTCGTTTTCTAAGAATTAATTTTACTACTGTTATCCAACCATTATGTGTGATAATCAAGGTGCACAAAAGCTTATGAAAAATGCTGTTTATCACTCACGCACTAAACACATAGATATTAGACATCATTTCATTCGTGAAATTTATGAAGAAATGAAATAGACGTTAATATGTGCCACAGAAAATGCCGCTGATGTACTGACAAAACATTGACTGCTTCGAAACATTCTAAGTGCTGTAAATTAATTGGAATAACTGTAAATGATTAATGTTTATTTTTTTTTCAGCCGCCAAACGTCGAAAGGGGATTGATTATCATAAATTAATAATACGACGTTAGCTTAAGAGAGCTTCTCCTGACGCATGCGCCGTCGCGTTTATCCGCGCGGTGATGAATGATGACGTAACTGTTTATTACGTATGTATGTATATGTATACCATTCTTACTCTTCTTCGCCCTTTTTTTTCTGCTGTATGCAACTATGTTTAAGTTAATCTCTGTCATTAAAAATGTTCATTGATATTACAATCTATTTAGGCTTATTTATTTCTTCAATTGCAATATCAAGTGTCTGGAGGTAACCAGTCATTCCTGCCGGAATCATTATTTCATCAATCTTCCTCTCAGCAAGAAAGTTTTTCATGTCTTTAGCGCGGTGAGTACTGGCTGAATTCCAAACTAGTAAACCTCTATTCTGACCCCTCAACTGTGGGGGCAGCATAAAATCAACCCACTTTCTTTAACGAATTCTTTTTGTTACATTATTTTAACTAGGGATTATTCAGGGGGAATGTCTTATTTTAGAAAAAGTTCAGAAATCACGATAGGGCTTATTTTCGGAGGATGTCTTATTTTCAGAAAAAGACGGTATATAACATTGGAGAGAGATATAACATTTGAGATTGGAATTGTAATAATAATAATAGAGTGAGATCGGAATACTGAAATATCTCTGGGTAGCTTTCTCTATAGATGTGCTTTGCATTGCATTGTGTTTAATGTTCACAGTAGTTTGAAGGGTAACTACTGATTGTACTCTGTGATATTTTGAAGAGTTAAACAATTATTTCTGCAGAAAGTTCCAGAGCTTTGAAGTGTTTCTTTTGATAACTATATTAATCTATCATCGGACCTGTGTGCATTTAATCTACTATTATGAACCTGTATGCATGCAACAATATTGTGCAATAAAATTTGGTGCACAATTTGGTGAAAATGCAATGGAAATTTATCAGAATGTAAACCAGGTATAAATCAAAAGCACGTTAACCTACCATTTTTTAGAAGTGAGGGAAGGCAAAATGAGTTCTGAAAGAACTTCAATGGAAAAACAGAGGGAAAAGTCAAACAAAAAATATCAGTAATATTGTCTTGGATGCTTGAAAGACTGTAGAAAAGGCTTTGTCACATTCAACCATGCATCACAGATACACATATATTCTCACATGATAAAATTCCCTATCGCAATGTTTTCTCTCGTCATTAATCCCCTCTCCAAAAAAAACATTTCTGTAGTTTCACAGCATTCTTAGTGATTTTAGAGCCTGACTTTAACCCCGCTGTTTTTTTTTTTTTTTTTTTTTTTTTTTTTTTTTCCTTTACTGCTGATGAATGAAAGCTGCGTTTTTGACACAACATAACTGCTGCTGGAAGAAATTTGAAGATGATAAAGAGGAAAAAGAAAGAAAGAAATCATCAACGGAAATCAGCGTAATACAGTTCAAGAGCTAGCAAACAGGCAAAATGTTCCAAAGAAACTTAAATAGGTAAGGCAACTACAATATGTGGATACCATGCTTCTACGTAATACAGTTCTTGAGCTAGCAAACAGGCAAAATGTTCCAAAGAAACTTAAATAGGTAAGGCAACTACAATATGTGGATATCATGCTTCTGTTAGAGTAGAATAAGCTCAGCCAAATTCCATTTTGTGGTTACATCTTAAAACAAAATGAAGAAGCTGCTGCCTTACGATACATAACCAAGGATTATAAACAGATTCTTTATATCAATGTTATTAAAAAAGAAAAAAATATGGAATGATATATTAAAATGGTATTCTGTACATGATGACATAATATAGAAATAGTTTATTAGTAACTGTTATTACCACCTAGACCATTAATTCTAAAAAAATATTCTTAGGTTGCAGTTCTGAAGGCAGATATCAATGCCATCAAGGCATCTGAAATGAAAGAAAGTGCTGTGTTCCATCATGATAATGCCACATTCCATGTTTCAATAAATGTTCAACAGACTAACTGAGTATGAAGAGATGCTTTGATTCATCTCTCTTATTCACCTGCCCTTTTAAACTTTCATTCATTTAAATCAGTTTCAAAGTTTCCTGAAAAGTGGCAAGTTCACTTCTTTAAAGGCTGTCTAATGATAATTTGATGATTCCAATAAATTTGAGAAGAGAAATGTTTTAGCTGATAGAAAGGCTGCAAACAGCAAATGAACAAAATGAAGCAGATGTTGCTCAATAAAGTTTTCAGTTGTTTTTGTATTACTTGATTAAAAACTTTCTAAGAGAAACAGCACCATTTTTGCATGATCCAACAGAATGCAATATACTGATCTATATCAAATCTTCTCGCAGATACTATAGTAATAGAAGCGATACTACAAAAAAATTAATAATAATTTATTGAGTGATATTACACTGGCATGCTAGTTAACTCCAATTAATGTAATAATTCTAAACTTTCACATTATTGCAAAATATATAATAAAATTTTCTCTTTGAAAACAAGTTCAGTTAGCAAATGAAGGGAAAAAATTTCAATGAATTACAGAAAATTCTTCTATAAAGATATCAAGAATAAAAATCAAATTATCTTACATTTGGTTCACTACTAAACGAATACAACATTCTGGTATAAAAGATTATTATTTTATGAAAACTATATTAATATAATAAGGGTTAATGTCTATTCTGTGAAATAAAGTTTAAATAAAATATTATTCAACATTTTCCACATAAAAGTAGTTTTATACACAATATGTTAAGTAACAATATATTAAATTCTATTAATTATAACTAGCAACCTAAAGTACAATTTAAATATAATTCATCTTAAAAAAAATTTTTTTTATTGTTTTGAATCACTCAATAATGTATAAATCAACCAGCCATAAAGCTGAAGTATAAATACCAGACCCACGTGGATATAATTCCTTAAGTTTTCGATTTTTCAGTATTCCCACAATTTCTTCCTTTCTTTTATTAACAATACATAACGACTGAAACCTAAAATAAGAAAATTTAATCTGTATATACTTAAAGTTACAAGCATTTTCTTAATTTTTTTTTTAAAGAAGCTGTGTTGTCAATACTTACTTTGCAGTAAAATCTTTACCAAGTTTTTCATATACTGCATCATCAGTTACAGAATTTTTCTTTTTTAGCTGTAACACATGTGGTCTTGGAATTTCTTCTTTAGTGTACAAGCTTACTCTAATCAGAACATTCCTTTTGTTCTCATAATTTTCCAACTAGAATATTCAAAGTTTTTATGAAGATTACACGACACTATTTAAACGAGCTATTACTCAATACTGTAAAGATACTGAAGTAGCAAACTTTATTGCAAGAACTATTTTAATGCATGAAATATCAAACAGCTGAGTTAAATTATGTTCATGCAAAAATAGTTTAAATATTACTAAGAAGTCAAAATAGCAAGATAAAAATATTTTATGAAAATAACTGCATTATTTATATAAATAAAATAAATTATAACATTTATGGTACAGTAAAAGGAACAGTTATTGATTCAAACGTTTTTAGCAACAAAGGAAAACCAGATGAAAACCATAGAACTATCATTTTTTATTTACAACTTTAACTTGAACTCAATTTTTTGGGAGTTTCTGAATTGGCTGCAATTGGCTATTGTTGTTTAAATTTTTATCCTTTAAAACTAAAAATTGTAAATAACATTGTGTCAATATTTAGGGAAGGTAGGTCAAATTTTAGGGAAGGTAGGTCCCATCATAAGGATTAAGGATTGCATAGGAACCCATGTGTGTAAATATCAGGGGTAAGTAGTAGCAGAGGTAGAAGATGGGAAAAGAAGCAAGAGTGATTAATTTGAAACAGTTATTGGACAAGAATACAAATGGTGTATAACAGCTTAAATGTTATAACAGATGCTCGAAGTTTGCACCATCAGACACCAAACATGCCTGACACCGAAGGACCATTTGAATGCCCTGGATTAGTTGATCTTTCTGGAGTAGGTTCTTCTCGATTTGTTTGATGATGTTCCACCAAATGTGAGGTGCAACATGTGATTCCAACATGATGGGGCCCCTGCTCATTTTGGAAGCCATCAAAAGTATCATGTATCACGATTCTGTTATGTCTGAAATGGATCTCGTGGCAAGACTCGCTTGCACAGCTGCTACAATCAAAGAAACTCCCAGTGTGTTTGAACATGTCCTGCAATAAATGGTCCATCGGTGTCAGGCCGGTTGCAATAAATGGTCCATCGGTGTTGGGTTCTGATGGTGCAAACTTCGAGCATCTATTGTAACATTCAAGCTGTCGTACACCATTTGCATTCATGTCCAATAAATGTTTCAAATTAATCACTCTTGTTTCTTTTCCCATCTTCTACCTCTTCTACCACTTACCCCTGACATTTCCGGGCATGGGTTCTTATGCAATTCTTAATTCTTATGATGTCTCCCACCTCCTCTAGAAGTTTATCCCAACATTTACAGTACACCATGTAAATAAGATTTGGGGAGAAATGCATTTTGGACATAAAGGCCAAAATATTTGGTAGGCCTTAAATTTGAAAGTAAAACAACTTATCCAATCATGAAATCTCACTGAAGACGACAGTACAAGGAGATGTTGCCAAACTTGCACCAATTATTCTGGCAGCGGTTTTTAAAGAATCAGATTGTTTTTTGTTTAGTTGAATAATGAACACAAATTATGGAATATAGCATATAAAAAACATAAATCGGTTATCATAACTTTTTACCTTGCATGGTCTTGCCATTATTTATCTCATTTCAAATAAAGTTACATGTTTGGCCATTTTGCAATACCAGGGTCGTGTAACTCTATTGTCCCATAGAAAAAAAATTCTAAATACAGTCTTTTGCAAAACTACCGAAGCACCATGAAGGATGTGGTTGTTTTTGATGAAATTGAATATGTATAAAGCTCATACACAGCTAATAAAATGATTAAAAAATCAAGGTCATAATACCTGTTAACGACTCACAATCACCTAAGAATGTTTAAATTAGTAGTTGGTCAAACTGCCCATGGAGGAAATGCACGCTTGAATTTGTAAAGGCAGGGAGTGGTAGAGGTTCCTAATGTCATCCTCCGACACATTCTGCCAGGCATTCATCAGCTGTCGGCTGTAGATCTGCGATACTTAGTGGTGTTCAAATCTGGCAGCCTACTATATCCCTGACATGCTCATTTGGTGAAAGGTCTAGTGACAGGGTTCGTAGCCACATTTTAATTAAAAAAATCTGATGTGTACACCACATGACTTCCTTGTACGGAATATTAAATTATACGCATTTTTTCTTGCATTTCATTTAAACTTATTAGATTGAATTAAGCCTACTTCACCGACAGCGCATAAACCACAATAGAATAAATGCATTCTTTAAAATTCACTTTGTTTACCATAACGACACTCTGGCACTAGGTTTACTTAACAGTATTATATTTCGTTCATATTATAACTCAGAATGCACAAAATTTATATCATTTAATAAATTATCTAATCGTTGCCACATGTTCTATTCAAATACTATAATAAAGCTAGAACTATGAAAGAAATTAAGCAAACAAAACAAAAAAGAAACAGTTTTTCACAGACGATTGAGTATTTCTCATTCAATTAATTCAGTTTTCACTTCGCAACAAGGCAAAAATACATAAAAACTCAAAATATCTCTATTAAAAATTACGAAGTAAATCTTAAACGCTTATTTCCTCGAAAAAACTCCAGAAACGATTAAGCATGATTTAAATAATAAATGAAGGCGTTATCTTTGTTGTTGCGAAGCTAAGTTTCTCTAGATTGGCAACAAATTTGCTACTCAGCTGTTTCATATGTAAACAAGAGCAATGGCCGCCATCAAATTAGGCTTAGCGGCACTTAAACAATTTTAAATTGTTGATAATTCTAAAAATATTGCATACAGATTTACTAAAGGCATAAAACCGTTAACCAGAAGATAAAAACAACATAATTCAATCATTTTTAAAGCAAAAAATGTACAATTTACAAACATATGAGAGTAAAGAAACTGAGATCACTGAGCCGGGTAACAGAATGGATATATATATAAAAATATATTTAAATTTAAAACAATTTAAATTCTTAACTACATATAAAAGTAAAAAAGCAAATTTAAATTCTAAAAAAAGGAAAAAAGCCAAAATAATTAAAAAATAATTTTAAAAAAATGTGCAAACATGTAAAAGATTTAATTCTCGAACTAATCTACAATATCATTTAAATTCAGAAGCATAAGCAAATCAAGTGCAAAATCTATCCATGAAAATAAATCTACTAATTTAATAAATTAAAATTAAATTAAACAATTTTTTTAAAAATGCATATGTGAATGACCGTAGAGTAGGCAGGAGACAGACTTATCAAGGGGAAGTTGCCTCCAAACCTAACTCTCCAATCATTCAATTCGTGTTTCGTCATTCATGCAGGCAAGGGTAAAAGTCAAAACCAAAAGTAATTCCAATAAAGTGGTACCCTTAGAAATTGAATGACGAAACACGAATTGAATGATTGGAGAGTTAGGTTTGGAAGCAACTTCCCCTTGATAAGTCTGTCTCCTGCCTACTCTACGATCATTCACATATGCATTTTTTGAAAAAATTGTTTAATTTAATTTTTAATTTATTAAATTAGTAGATTTATTCTCATGGATAGATTTTGCACTTGATTTGCTTATGCTTCTGAATTTAAATGATATTGTAGATTAGTTCGAGAATTAAATCTTTTACATGTTTGCACATTTTTTTAAATTATTTTGGCTTTTTTCCTTTTTTTAGAATTTAAATTTGCTCTTTTACTTTTATATGTAGTTAAGAATTTAAAATTTGTTTAAATTTAAATTTCATTCCTTGCAGCAATGGCGCAAAGAATATTTAATTAAATATGTATTTTGCTTGCTTCATGCAGTCACCTTTAACAGTAAAAGCTTAAACTAACCCGCATACTCGGAAATTGCCAAATATTCCGGATAGTAACTGGAAAAAGAGGAGTGGGGGAGATTGTATTCGTTCTTTAGATTTGGCTAAATAAATGATTTTGACATTTCGATATGTGCATCATATAAAAATAGACCAACAGAACTGAGAAATAATCTGCTTAGAAAGCACAGTAAAACTCTTTTAAGTGTTCATAAACAAATCTCAGACTGAAGATCAAAATTAATTATCTCTCCAAAATACTGCAAACGTTATTGCGCAGCGTAATTCTTCCACATGTGATATTACGCAATCGGAATCAACAGCTGCCGGTATTCGGAGAATAAAGAACTAAATAAAGAAAAAGAAACAGACTTACTAATCTGGGGTGTTTCTGATTCTAATTTTCAACAGACTGCGTTAACCCCTTCGCGCCAACTGTCACGTCTACGTGCCAGCAACGAAAACACTCATTTCCCGGCCGACACGCAGGCGTGCCAAAGCATTTTCCCGTTCACTACCGACTGTCCCGTATTTGTGCCAGTGTCCTGGAACGTTTTTCAAACTATAATTTCTGCCACAAGATGGTGCTGTATGTCCATATGGTTTCAGATACATGTACATTAGACCTTCTACTCGAAATGAGAGAAGCATGACTCACATACACGTGTTTTTGATTATATAAATAAAAGGGGAAATAAATGTTTCCGAACGGCGTGATTTATGACATCTCTTTAAATCGCACTTTATTCACACGTGGTAGTTGTTTATTTAAGTACAGAAGTTTTATTTGCGCTAAGGTGTTGGGTATTTTGGTTTGCAGTTCAGTTTTTAGAAAATAATTAGATCTTGTTAGACGTGAATTCTTTGTTTTTACCATTGCAATGTCGAAGCGTCGAAAATGTTTAACAGAGCATGAAATAGCGGAAATGATGCAAAATATTTCAGATATTGATTCCGAAATTCTTATATTCTGATATTGATTCTGAAAGATTAACTGAAAGACATTTTCCAAAACTTTGTTCAAAAGAAACTGATAAGAAAATGAGACGACGATGCTTCGTTTGTTCACATTCCCGGAAAAATCCGCCAAAATGGCAAATGAGTTATTACGAGTGCAAGGAATGTAACGTAGGACTGTGTATAGATCCCTGTGTTTTCAAGTTTTTTCATACGAAAAGAGAATTTTAAGTAATATATTTAGTTTTCAGATGTATAATGTTAAAAGTCATAAAATGGTGAGTAATGAAAATAAAATGTGTTAAAATATGCATTTAAACAAGAAATAAGGTAATTAAAGTATATATATAAAAATATCTATAAAGCATAAGCCATTTAAATACTCTATAGAGCATTATTAAACAATGTGTTGATACTTCAGAAATTTCATGGATTTAGGCTTAGTAGCAAAAAAGCCCCCGGCCCTGAACAGACACTCGCGTAAGATAGTGTCGGCCTCCGCGATAAGCGCGTGTTTGTGCTACCGGGCTTGAAGGGGTTAAATTTCCGGAACAGTATCAATCTTCGCTTAGGTTGGGTAGACCGCTAAAACTTTTAGTCCTATTCAATCTAGATTGGACAGTGACAAAAAAAAAATCCGCTGCTTCAATATTAGAGATTTTGCGGAGAAAGGGGAGAACCTGCCAACCTCTGTAGTGTATAATGTATTGGGAAAAAGAAAAAAAAAATTATTTTAACTATTCGATTACTTTCCTTTTATTTAAGCCATTCCGAATATTATTCCCTAGAAAGCTAATCTGTGTAAAAACACACCCATTTTTGGAAGTTTATCTATACTTCAGCAGATTATTTCTCAGTTCTGTTGGTCTATATTATTATAAATATTCATGCATATACTCATAACATAAGTATAACGATCATAATAAACACGAATATGAACTGACCACACGGAACGAGAATGCAAATTATTAAAATCTTGATAGAAATTCAAATGTGTGTAGTATTTGGGTGGGAGGAAAAGAATACCGAATGTACCGGAATTGTCTACCATTTTCGCAATTCTTTGACCAATAGAACGACGTGCACCTGTCTGTACTCTCGCGCACACCATAGGTTACGGTAATGCAGAGAGGGGGGGAAGCAATTTCCGGGAGTAGGATTCACCATCTGATGTTGCATATAAGGAAGAAAAGTTGTTTATTTAGTTTCGGCTTTGGTACGGGAAAAAATGCAAGTTCATTAAAAAAAAAAAAAAAAAGGATTAAAAAAAAGCATTAAAGCAAAAAATAAGCTCTAAAAACAAAAAAATAAGGGCTTTAAAGAAAAAGTAAGCACCTATAAGAGCCTTTGTATTTTATTTTCAAATATAAGGACTTATAAGCACTTGTAAGGACCGCTACGAACCCTGAATGACCTTGCTGGCCAAGGAAGAGTATCAACGGCACGGAGACAGTCCAGAGATATGCGAGCGGTATGTGTCCTGGCATTATCTTGTTGGAAAATGGCTCCAGGATGGCATGCCATGAATGGTAATGCAACTGCCTGCAGGATGGTATCAACATATCATTGAGCTGTTAAAGATGTATGGAGGATGACTTAAGATGACCTGCTGTCATAAGAAATAGCGCCCCACACCATCACACCAAGCGGTATTCATCACTGAACACTATACGATGCTAGTCTGATGGCAGCCATGATGACTGGCTGCTACACCACTTCAGACGACTTCAGCAATGCTGTGGGGTCAAAGGCAAACGTCTTAAAGGCCTCTGTGAGTGTTACCCTGCCTCAGATAAGTGCCGCGAGATGGTGGACGGTACCACGGGTGGTATAGACTTGGCTGGTGGTGTTTGAATAGTTGACAATGAAACTGTTGGAACGGTTCGGGACTGACGAACTATCATCCTATCTTGCCTCGCTTTGTGCTCCTTGGCCTTCCAGAGTCTTCATTTCATCGTCAATTTCCTTGTAGTAACCATTGTTGCCAACATTTTTGCACACCTATTGCTCGGTATGACCCCCCCCCCTCAGCTTCACGCAATCCTACAATGTGACCCCGTTTGAAGTCGTTTAGTTGTCTGTAAGGCTTTCAATATCGTTGTAATGCCATCTTTAGTTGCTTTTTTACCGAATTACAATGGCAGCAACAAAAAAAGATAAATTTTCCACCTCTGTTACTGGTTTCATACTTTGAGAATTGCACACTAGAAATGTGCATTATGATCGCAGGTCCTGTTCATTTGCCTTGAAACTTTGATCATTTGCATGTTTGATCAAGATGTTTTTGCATACCAAATTTCATCACAATTGCAAAAAGTCCTTCTTGGTGCTTCGATTTTTTTGCAAAAGAGTGTATTAATAATTTTTTTTAATGCAAGTAAAAAACAATACTTATATATTTCTTTATAAAAATTAAACCAGCTTGTTGAGAATTAATTGGGTTTATATAAAACCAAGGTGAATTATATGCATGTGAATAATATGTCATAGTTATTTTATTTCTTTGGAGAAATTTTTTTCTAAAATTATAAAATATTCCATTTACTTGAGTTTTCTGGCTAGCTGAATACCAGACAGTCAGGCTTTTACTGTACTTACGTATTTTCTTGAAAACCAAAAAAAGTTGGTAAAGGTCCCACCAAACTTGCATCAATTATTCTGGCAGAGTCTTAAGGAACAGACTGCTCTCTACATGTTATGGATATAGCATATAAAAACCATGAATAAATACAAGCTCAAACTAGTACAGTCATTCTAGGGAAGTTTACAGTTCTATTACAAATTTTAGTTCCTTTTCGAATAAATACTTTGTCGAGCACAAGGTTGGGCACTGCTGACCTAGAGTAATGCACTGTCACAAGAAAACATTACATTAGAAGGAAAATATTTTCTTTATTTAACTTTAGTTCTTATACCATATCTTACAAATTGTTTTATTGTGCTTCATAAGCTGTATTGCAAATTGGAAACATCAAAAGTTTCTTTGCAAAGAATGATGAAAACAAAAATACTTAAAATTAGTTTGTTTACAAGAAGATTTGGTTTACTCCCAAAAATATTATAAACAGAAAAATAATTTATAAATAATAATTAAAAAAAGAATTACGACTTTTTATTAATCATCATCATGTTTTATAACAGATATGTGACTACAACTGCTATTCTTTATTCTTTTTCAGGAAATTACATGCATTCTCTCACTTAAAACTCTCTGTTTTATCTTATTCATATATTTAATTACAAAATATTTTGCTTGATATTTTGATAACTCTTGTATTAGTTAATATGATTCATCAGATTAGACTATGGTTCTTTTAAATTATTAGGAAAACAGTTAAATCATAAAATTTTTTAAATGAAAGAATACCTTTACAGTAGGACAGGATTTTTTACTATTGGTAATGCCTTTGCCACCTAGGCTTCCATGTGAGCCCTTTTCACTTTCATAACGGAACCTGTACATTTCAGCTGGTTGCACAATTAAATTTAAGTAAGGCATTCCTTAAAAAAGGAAAAAAAAACTGACCCTTTAATTTCATAATATTTTAGAAAATTCATCAATAATATGCATTAAAGACAATGATTCAATTCAAACAACAGATTAAAAAATTATACACATTTTCAAACAAATACAGTCAAAACTCTTTGATCCGGACGTCCATAATCCGGAATGATCTATAATCTGGACCTCAAAACTACAAACTTTCTGCGCATGCGTAGACGCATAATGCATGCGCATAATACAATCCGGAATGATCTATAATCTGAACCTCAAAACTACAAACTTTCTGCGCATGCGCATAATACGTTTACGCATGCGCGTTTAATGTATAATGGATGGTATAAGCTAAGCTAAAATTATCTATTTCAGTTAATGTTACAGATTGCGTTGTTCCTTAATCTTCTAATTGGATCCGGCTTATTATTTTTTGCAGACTGTTAGAGCAATTTTACAAAAGTAGGCTTGAACTTTTGATTATGCACGCTGCTCTGCGGGGAAGGGGGGGAGAGGACGTCGCGGTGCGCAGTGTACTGGAAGTAGATCTGCCAGCACTATCCTTATCTTCAGGGCAGATTTTTTTTTTATTCGGCTTATAATTCCTTACTCAATGTAGTAGTATTTCATTTCGATGCACTCCGTGTTTGATATGATTTAAATCAAATTCCTCGTCATTATAAATATCACGAGTATACATCAAATAGTTTTCTGGTTGCAATTTTCTAATCTCGACTATGCGTAATGTATGCTTACGCATGCACACATTGAGAGAAATTTTTAATAAAGTAAACATATAAATATTAAAGCTTCTTTTTTTTTTTTTTTTTTTTTTTTTTTTTTTTTTTTTTTTTGTAAATTTTTATACTTTTTAGATCATAATTGCTCTTTATTTCATAAATTACGTTTTCATATTTTTAATTTTATAATTTCTGCATGCCATCTTACCAGATTTAAACTGATGATCTATAATCCGGAAAAACCGATAATCCAGAATCACTGAGGTCCCGACGAGTCCAGATTAAAGACTTTTGACTGTATAGCTATTTAGTGGTACGAAAGAAATGTAATATATTTTAAATACTTATCCAAGATACTATTTGTGTTTTAAATAGTCAAAACGTATCAAATTTAAATATTATGATCATACAGAATACATGAATTTACATGACACAGTTTATTTTAAATTACATAAAACTTTGAAAAAAAACACAAAGTATGAATCAAAGCCTATTAAAAAATTACCTTACAATATAATATTGCATGAAAGCTTATAAAACCTTTTAAAAATTGGAGGAGGGGAAAGCTGATAAACTAAGATAATAAGTTATTTCATAATGTTAAATCATTAAAGTTAATAATAATCTTCCCTTGATGCACACAATATTATTTTTATAATTCTTTTAACTAAAAACTCTACAAATTGAATATTATGATCCTAGAGACAAATAATATATGAATTTTTAAAAAATCTACTCTTTCCCATTGTTCTGTGGGTGGTGGTTGCACTGTGAAACCACCGCGCGTCTAGGACTTTGAAATTTACTGAGGTAGTAGGAAAAAAAAAACTCACCATTCTCCGTGCGCGTTTCCAATAAACGAGGAAATTTACAAATTTTAAAAAAATTTATGTAAGACTTGCATTTTATATAATTTCTTTAAATTATTTTACAAAATCGTAGAAAAATAAAAAAATAAACATTTATGTAATTTTCTATAGCAGTGAAAATATAAGTACCTAAATATAAGTACATAATAAGAACGTTTGGCTAAACGGATTAAAAAACTCAGTAAAATAAGGATAAAAAAGGGGGACTCAACTCCCCCACCCTAAAGAAAAAAAAAAAAATTCCTGACACTGTTCAAAGCATGTTTTGTCTTTTTGGTACATGCACGTTTCGCACGTCTTCTTCTATGAGGTTTTTTCCTAGTGCTACAAAATGTACACTGCCTGGATTTAAATTTCACTGGTATATGTCCAGCGTTATTTAGTTTCTTTTCATCTGGCATATGAAATTTGTGGTTTTTTATATTAATGGGGTGGGGCTTGGTCTTTTTGGCTTTGGTGCAAATCATTCATTTCACATTCATACTTATTTTATTTGTATTTTTTCCCAAAGTACTCAGAAATTTTTTTTCATTTAAATAAAACTTTACACGATTTCTAATTTTAATTATAGCAAAGTATATATACATTAAATTTAAACCAGAGGAAATAATTTATAAAATCACAACACTAGCTTGGGAAGTAAGTGAGTTGAGGTCAGAGAAAAATCTCTGGAAAAGAAAGACCTTTTTACTGAGCAGGTACATGTATTGTTTAGTAATAAAATAACTCTGTAGTTTCAAAACCTTTTATCTATACAGTCCAAAAGTCGTTAATTCAGACACCCATAACCGGAAGATCTATAATCCGGACCTCAAAGCTACAAACTTTTGCGCATCGTGACGCATGCGCGTAGACCTTTACAGCTGCGAATAGGCGCGTGCGCAAAAAATACATTTACGAAAAGCGCGTTTAATGTATAACGGACGTATATAAGCTAAGCTAAATTATCTAATTCAGTTAATGTTGCAGATTGCGCTGTTCCTTAATCTTCTAATTGGATCCGGTTATTATTTTTTGCAGACTGTTAGAGCAATTTTATAAAAGTAAGCTTTAACTTTCGATTATGTCAAAAAGAATTTCCGATTCTGGAGCTAGCAAAGGATCTACAAAGTGAAAGCATGTTCCGATGTCCATCAAACAAAAAGTGGAATTGCTGCAAAAAATGGATAAAGGCATATCCTTCGTTTCTCTAATCATTCCGAAATCTGTTTATTAATTTTATGTTGCTCTGCCGGGGATGGAGGGGGCACGGCACACAATAATGAACTGGAAGTTGATCTGTCAGTTTTTATGTATTCGGCTTATAATTCCTTACTAAATGTAATATCTCGATGTACGCGTATCTTTTATAATTAAATTCCGGGCATTTAATTCGATTGATAGCGAAGAAAAGTGACAGAGGTTTTGGAAACGAAAAAAATTTTCCAGAAATAGTATTTTAGAATTAACACAAGAATATGTACTTCCAAAGGAATTAATATAGAATAAGAAAAATTTTATAAAAAACGAAAATAAAGAGAAATTTTAATGTAAATTTTTTTGTTACCCTTTAATCATAAGTTCTTTATTCATCAGAAATTACCGTTTCATATTTTTTCATATTTTAATTTTATAAATTTCTGCATGCCATCTTACCAGATTTAAAAACTGATGATCTATAATCCGGAAAAATCGATAATCCAAAATCGCCGAAGTCCCGACGAGTCCAAATTAACGACTTTTGACTGTATACGGGTAAAAAAAACATTCCTATTTGAGAAGCAAGAAATGATAGAAATCATGATGTGTCATTTTACTTTGCTAATCAACACGTAAAAACAATAAACAAAAAAATGCATCACCTAGAAAAATAAACATTTTGTAATGTTAACGCATTATTTTACTTGTGTAAAATTATCTTGGTTTCTGGAAAGCAAGATACGAGATCATATCACGTTCATATTGCTTCATACAGTGGCTTTCAAAGTATTGCGTCATCTCATTGTGTTGCTATAAATAATGCAGCAATAGGATTTATCTCTTAAGCGATAAAATTATGCTCCACACGCTCAATTGAAGCAAGGTACAAAATGTGTGGCAGTTGCTTTACCTAAAGAAGGATATTCGATACTCGTGATCATTAAAAAAAATTAGAGGAATGAATCGACAGTCTTGATAGCTATTCAACTGGAGCATGAAACTAGTGATGTTAAGAGAAGGAGCAGATCATGCTAGAAGTGGGTGATCACAAAATCTGATGATCAATATCTAAAATCATTTTGGAGGTACACCTCTGATTTAAAAATTGAGTTTCAGAAAGACTGTGCTGCTAATTTAAGCACCCAAAGTGTCCAAGGACACATTGCGAAAAAGCGGTCTGCTTAACGTATCGCCCCAAGAAAAAGGTCTTTAAATACAAAAAAAAAAAAATGCAGAAGCAACTTTCTTAGCCAAAAAAGCATGTTTCATGGACAAAGGTTAAACAGAACTCAATTTTAACCTACATGGATCAAACACTAAGCAGTATGTTCAAAGACGTAAAAGTGAAATTTATAATCCAGACTGAATATTGTCTACTGTGAAATTCTCAGCAAGCCAAACAGTGTGGGGATACATATCCATCAAAGAAGTTGAAAGCTTGAATTTAATTACTGGGAATTGTTAATGCATCAGTTTATACCCACATCCTGGAGGAATATTTCTGAGCCAGTTTTATTCAGAATCATTTTAAAGGTGCTAAAAATTCCATTTTCATCAGGATTCTATATCCTGTCATACAGCAAAATTGGTTAAGTATGATTTAACTTATTTATGCACAAATTAGTTGCCTCATTTGCAGATTTTTAGCTCCACAACATAACGGATATTGCAAAAGTAATTTTTCCTTATTTTGCTCTTTAGGTGCAGGGCTATCTGACATTAAAATTTTAGGCTATTCTCAGAGCCGGATTTAGACTTTGTAAGGCCCTAAGCTATTTGAGATATGGGGCCCTTTATAAGTCTGTTATACTATATTTTAATATGATATTTATACAATATTTAAATTTTTTTGGAGGGGGGCCCAAAGAAAGTTGGAAAGTGGGTATTTTGTAAGCTAGACCATCAATAAGAAAAATACGGACCTATCACCAAATAGGAAATGAATGAACATAAAGCAATTACTTAACCCAAATTTCATTTTTATAATACTACCACTTTTGTAATTTGTAAGAAACCACTTTTATAATTTGTAAGAATAAAATAAATTTGCAAATAGCATAGATTATTATTAAACACAATATGCATTATTAATCAACACAATCTACTACTTAACTGAATTAGAAAACAAATTCGAAAATAAAATCAACTTCACAATTTTGTTTCACGTGAATAGCATTAAATTATAAAATTTCTTGAAACATATATACTATACACTTATAACAGTCCCATCATATATTTTAAAGAAGATTAGTGACTTTTTAGTTAAATTTTACTAACAGTTAGCTTTATACTAGTTCTTTCTTTTATGCCTCATTCCATCATGTACTTGCTCAGCCCAAAGGTTTATGCAGATTTATGTCGGCATAAATTAAATTGAGAAGTAGAATAATAACCAGCATGAATCATAATAGAAGCTTGGCTGTTGCGTCCACAGCTGTTCGCTTAGAGACAGACAGCCACTGATCAGAACAGACAAGAATACCTAAGATTGATATGGTTGGTAAATGTTAAAAGTTAGCTGCATTTTGTCTGAGTTGCATTAGTTGTAAGGAATAAAGTTTTATGTTAAGTTTTTACACTTTTGTGTTGTATTTTACACATCTAAAAATAAGGATTATGGAAAAGCAATAACTCACATTACATAGATACAGATAACTTTTAAAGGTAGGTACTTAATTATAAATAATACAATTATGTAGTTAGATTGAAGAGACATTAGGTTATTTCGAAGCAAGAAGGATGAAAAATGAGCAATGCCTTTGCCGGGACTCGAACCACGGGCCGCTCGAATATGCGTCGAGCATGCCGACCACTACACCAAGAAGGCAGGAGAAATACCTTATCTAAGATTTCTGTTATTCTAAAGAACTACTTAGAATGTATAGAAGAAACTACTAATTTTACTTCTTTAACAATATGAGTACTGAGAATAAATATGAAATGATGCAAGGTCAGGACAGGCACCAGAGCCAGTGTGGGAGAAAAAAACAAATATGTCAGATGGGTAAAATTAAGAAACTTTTTCCAATTTTATAAGGGTTTTACAAACCAAAAACCGTTTCTAAAAAGTATAAGAAGTGCTTCTAGTAAGTCTGTTACTAAGATTAAACTGCAGGAAAGCATTATTAAGGTTTGGACAGGGCATTCCTAGCAGGAGTGCAGCACGTAAAAGTACGCGGGCAGACTAAATCATGGCTGGTCAGACTCTCGTGTGACCCCATGCTTAAATATTTTAAATTCATTGCAAGTACTTATCATATCTAAGCACCTTTTAGAAAATTTGTCATACTTACTGAGTATGAAATTAAAATAATGTTAATCAGAGCGCTTTTTTTTTTTTTTTTTTTTTTAAATCTGGGGACGCCAATTTTAGGAAAGTACTTATGCAGTCAATGGCTGTATGGGTTTAGATTTGTGAAACTGGCCAGGATTACATTCAGAAGTTGGAAATCTTCTATGCCAGACCACTGGGAGGTCATCATCAATATTCGTAGAGGATTTATTAAATATTGAATTAATCCTTATACGTTTATACACATCTAAGTACATCTAACTGTGATATGACTGCAATTGTAATTTAACATTAACTAATTGTAATAAATAATTTATTAATCCCAATAAAAATTGATTAAAATTAACCCTACAACTTTATTTTATTATAAAAATATGAGCTTCACCTAAAACATACATATTATTTGTAAAATAAACATTTTCGCCAGTGGTGCAGTTTTTTGGTCGCCACTCTAAGTATAATGTTACGAATTTTGCATTTAGTTAGATATTTTTAGTAGAATTATAATTAAAATTGTTTTATTTGTCTGTGCAATGCAGCAGACAATGAATTTTAAGTGAAAGCTACGCCATAAATTAAAAATACAAGAGCACATAAAATTTTAAATTTAATAAATAAGTATCGCTTTTAATTTATATTTAATTCGAATAAATGTAATTCACTATTGTGTTACCTGTAACGATAATGATACGCTTTTTGCTTTCCATAAATTGTTAGAACTATCTCGTGTGGCTAATTTAAAAAGCTATAAAAGACAGATAGAGAACATCTCAGCTCATTTGTTGTTGTTTACTTAGCTGCTGTAATTTTGAGATCGCATTAGCTTTCTGCACTTTGGATTGCGTTCTATTTAACATTTTAATAGTTTAAAATATAACTACTGTTTATATTGCGTGATATTGAGATCGTGTACAAGCATCTTAGAAATAATCCAATGTTTTGTTATATTTCTTGTGATTAGAATAAAATTTATTAACTTTTTATTGGACTTGGGCATTCAATCTATTATGAACCTGTACGCATGCAACAATACAACATTAATGGATTCATATGAAGATAATAACTAGTAAAATGATCGGTTTTGTGAAATGTATTTTGAACACATTACCCAGCAAGAATTTCACACTGGTATCACAGTTTAAGGCTATCAAACGGGCTCAAAATTTTTCATTAAGCCTAATTAAATTTTACAAATTGAAATGTTTCAAAATTAATAGTTTTGATAATCAATAAACACATATAATGGTATTTAAAATGTAGGTTGGTAATTTTTAATAACTTTTTAAAATCAAGCTTTTTACATTTTCATAGGCATTACATTTTTACACAGTACTTGATAATATAAAACATCCACATATTAATAATATTTAGGTTAAATTATTACAAAATATTAAAAACAAATTTAAAATTTTCTATGCATTTTAGAAATTAAAATAGATTTAAAAAGTATCCTTTTTAGCACATTCAAAACAGAATGCTCATTAACAAAAATTCAATTATCCTAACTATCTAATTACTCTCTATGCTGCATCTTCAAAAACAAAAAAATCACAATAATTTAAAAAGAACATCTTTTTACTTTTCACAAAGAGTGAAAAATAAATACTGCTGTATAGTAAAAAGCAATTTTCATGTACACTTTCATCACAAATTGGTAAAAATTTAAATCATAATGAAAATCATATTCATAAGCAGTTAAATCTGAAATGCAGATAATCCTCAATATCAAGCTTTTATTAAGAGATCATATCATGCACTCAATATAAGTAATATAAGCAAGTAGCAGAGAAATAATAAAAGGCTTCCCTAAGACACTAAAATTTCTAAATATTTATACTGCTAGACATTAAAATTGTTACACCCTGAAGCAAATGCACAATAAAAATGAAATGTGCATGAAAGATAAAATATGCTAGGATATGCAAATGATTAGCATTTTATGATATGCACACATTTGTAGGCAAGAGCGATAACACTTAGAAGCAATATAAAAAAGCAGACTGAAAAGCTGATTTTTCATTTAGAAACTGCATTTAATTGTTGTATTTTGTGTTAGAAGTCATATTATGACTCATGTAAGATTCAGCATCTCTTGATATTACAGCACAGAAATTGGTGCATACAAATGACATATTCAGTGATGCACATGAATGCATCAATAGTTTAATATCACTTCTCTGATTAATACCACTTTTGCTTACAGAAGTAGGGTGGCTGTATCCATATAAGGAAGCACTGAGGGGAACAAACATTGGAAGCTTTCATTTTTAAGCATTATACTGAGTTATAACCTTCATTGACATTATGGAGATGTTTAGTTAGAATTTGGGCACAAACCAGACCATCTTGTGAGCATAAATTCACGTTATAGCCAAAATGGGACACACTCACAAAAACATTTTCCTCCCCCCTCGAGATACTAGTTACACATCTTGTTCATTTCTAGCCCATAAAACTTTGAATAGCTTTCATTACATACTCAGGTTTTGGCCATGACTATATTTTGGACCACCGGTCATTACACCTTTCAAATGGGCAATGTGAGATCACACAATACCCATCTTATATTTCCTCAATTCACAGGATGGGTGACTGATGCCTTGATCAGCACATTTTCTCGCTCTCCTCAGGTTGCAAAAAGAATGGCACAGCAACACCTACCACTAGTGCAACAAATAATCCCTGGCCTAGAACTGAAGCCACATAGACAGCAATAACTCAAAATACAAAACAAAATCTGTTGAATTCCATACCCAGCCATATGATAACTCAAAACACTCTGGCTGCTAAAAAAGACAGAGATGCTCAAAGTACTGATTTCTGCATACCCGCACGTCAAAATTATCTGAAGTTTTAAATGTGATTTTGCTGCTTTTATTTGTGGTGTACTGCAAAATTTCAGTGGTCAGCAGTGCAGAATCAGATATTAAATGATTACTTCTGCTTAAAAAAGAATTTAATTACTTCACTCAGACAAAGCACATGATTGCTATCTGCTTAAGTTACACCACACTTTTGATCATGGGTCCTCCAGAAGATGAAATCCTGAGGATTTTGACTCCCCTTTACTCCAGAATCTCTCAAAACTTTCAGCTCAACAGATCTGAAATGTTTCCATGCCAGAAACATGCTACAGTAATAAACACTGATCCCTTTTGAATACAGTTCCATCAGCATAAGAGTCTACATGCCTGCGCTAACATTAAAAAAGTTGTAAAAAGAAACTGAAAAAGTCGTATTGTTACTTATAAGGTGCCCATAGCTTTGACCAACAACAAGCACTCTCTTTCCACTGGCTATGATCAATTTGTGAGCCTAAACTGTGCAGATATTGAAAGATATGAAGGATTAATGTAACAGTAGGAGATAGTATCAACAATTCAGAAGAATGTTTACTTTAACACAGAAAACAAATTTCAAAGTTTTGTCATTTAATTTCGAAATATAATTATCACAGCCCTATTAATTAATAAAATGTGACATATTTGAAAAAGGCAGAAGGTGGTAGATGTTATTTTCAAAAGTAGATAGTGCAAACATAGTTCAAATTTCACACTGTCTGTCTACTTCTCAACACTTTTGTTTATCTAAACTGATAAGATTCCAACAAATTCAGATAACTGGTATGTTATATCAATTCCATGCTTTATTCTAAAAAAGTATAGTTAGTTTTTATTATTATAGCATAAAATTATTAATTATTAACATAACTGTCTTATGCACACAAATATATAAATTATTTATCACTATACCTGAATAATGACTCCTATTCAAAGGAAGATCTAAAAAATTAATTGCTCCTTCAGGAGAATTTGGGGAATAAACATCATTTACTGTAGACAAAGAAATGTCTTCCTGAATGTAAGTTCCTAACTGAAGGGCTTCATTGTAATAGCTTGGTAAATAAAAACTCTCTGACAGCATTTCTTCTTCTTAATTGAATTTTCACCTACGATAATACATCTAAAATTAAAAATACTACTTTATCATAGCAATTTTATGCAAGAAAGTTTAACTTATAGTCATGCATAATATATAATGCATAACATATAATGCTTAGCATTATTAAAAATTATTTAATAATGTGCATATATGTCTTTGTGTGTATACATGCACATACATACATATACATGCATACTTGAACTATATATACATGCATTTCTGAACTCAGTCCCCCCAATAACAGAAGAGAACCAAAAATTATTTATTATAAGAAGGAACTGTACGAAAGCATTTGATAAAAAGGCTCTAGATTACTCATAGTTGGCATACGAAATCAAATTCTATCTATAAGCCAGCTATGAGATAATTCGACCTTGAGAAGTAAAGTACTTGGAGTGATAATAATCTATGACCTGTGTCAGCAAATGAGTTAAACAATTTTTAGCAACTGAAACCTGTTTGCCAAAATATATTATGAAATTTAAAATTAGGCATAAAAGCTACCTAATGCCAGCAAGGTTTTTCATTCAAAATCGATACCAAACTAACACCTTTCTTTTTTTTTCTTTGCATATTTCTCTTTGCCTCAAAAATTTTAATGAAATATGCTACCAGGTAAGAGTTCTCTCTATTTTGATGCTTCCAAGTTTGCTCGGAGTCATGTGCAGGTTCATTTCTGCAGAAGGAATTCTATATCTTTTATGACAAATAAAAAATAAAATTAAAATAAAATTAATTTCAAAGACAGGAAATACCTGCACATAAAAATAATTGCCACTATTAGATATCACTGTAATTCATTGCCACTTCTGCATGATAGAATCCATTATCAAACTATTTAAAACAAGACTACTATTAATATTCAACTTTTACTTTCCCTTACTTATGATGATTAAATATAATTAAATGCAATGAACTAGTTAATAAATTAAGAATAATAAATTGAATAATTCAACAGATTTTTTATAAAATACAATAATACAGTCAAAAGTCGTTAATTCGGACACCCATAATCCAGAATGATCTATAATCCAGACCTCAAAGCTGAACAGACCTTTACGGCTGCGAACAGGCGTGGGCGTGTGCACAAAATACCTTTACGAATGCTGCGTTTAATGTATAACGGACGATATAAGCTAGGCTAAAATTAGCTAACTATCTATTTCAGTTACTGTTGCAGATTGCGCTGTTCCTTAATCTTCTAAATTGGATTCCTGCTTATTATTTTTTGCAGACTGTTACGAAGCAATTTTATAAAAAGTAAAGCTTGAACTTTCAATTATGTCAAAAAGAATTTCCCGATTCTGGAGCTATCAAAGGATCTACAAAGCGAAAGCATGTTCCGATGTCCATCAAACAAAAAGTGGAATTGCTGCAAAAAATGGATAAGGCATATCCTTTGTTTATCTAAACTTTAACATTTGTTTATCTAAACTTTGTTTATCTTTAACACCGCTATCACATAAAAAACGAAACAACTTACATTGAAAGAAATGTTAATAAAGTAAAACAAAAATATTAAGCCTTTTTTTTTTTTTTTTTTTTTTTTTTTTTTTTTTTTTTGTAATTTTGATACTCTTTAGATCATAATTGTTCTTTATTTTATAAATTACAGTTTCATATTTTTAATTTTATAATTTCTGCATGCCATCTTACCAGATTTAAACTCATGATCTATAATCCGGAAAAATCGATAATCCAGAATCGCCGAAGTCCCGACGAGTCCAGATTAACGACTTTTGACTGTATTACTAAGAATATTATGAAAATTTAATTCATATCACTATTACCATAAGCAAATTAAAGAAACAGAATAAAAAGATAATTTGAAAAAACACATGCGATTTTTAAAAAGAAATATCAACTGGGGGGGGGGGGGGGGGGGCACTGGCTATTTTACTGAAGATATTCATAACAGATGTAAGAATTACAATCAAAAAAGATTCATAACAAATATATGAATAACACTATAGCTGAAAATATTTAATATAATTGTTGATTATACTGTATAATAGCAGCATAATAACTTTTTAAATATATTAATTTTGAAGGCATTTCTAAAGGAAGGCCTAAGATAGCAGTAATATTCCAAAGAGAAGACTGAACTAAAAGAACACTCATTAACAGATAAGAGAAGAAAGCTATGGATTGATAAAATTATATCCTATACAAGGTGAATAAGTTTTTCATGAAAAGGAAAGTACTTCATATGCTCTCCTTTTTAAAACTGCAATTTTATTTAATTTTTAATCTGATTTTTCCTGACTTTTAAAAAAAAATTGGGGGGGGGGACCATTTGTGTGTGTGTTTTGTTTTTATTTTTCCTGACTATTTTTGTTTTCCTGACATGGTTCTTCAAAATAAGTGGGAAAATATGTAAAATTTTTAGGTGCAAATTTTCCCTATGCCAATTATTTAAAAATTACAAATAAAAAAAACTATCTACTAAAAAAGTATTTAAAAAATGTTTTCATAGAAAAAAACTTTTATTTTAAAGCTATAAAATTAATGAACTAAAAGGAGAAAAATTATTTATCATACAGCTTAATGGGAACAAGAGATTAAATAATTTTCTTTTCGAAATTTACTGTATTTGACGGCATATAAGACGCACTGGCATATAAGACACACCCTTATTTAGAAGGCCACACACAAGGTAAAAAAGTTTCAATAGTCCGCGCGACCACAGTAACTTAAAATGTGGTTTCTTTTAGTTTTCACGTTTCGTAAAAGCCAAATAAACAATCCTTGAATGCAATTACCAAACATATTTTTATTAAGGAAAATTAACCAACGGTAACCTTTTTTGAACATGATATGTAAATTTCAATAAGGAATAAGTGAATGAACGGCAAGCAATCAAACATAATACAAAATAAAGCAGAAACAACAAAAAACACAGATTCAAGGAAAATGTTGCCTTTCATGAAATTAGACTTTAATCACTTTCAAAACCATAAAAATCCTTTTCACTACCATCATCATCGAAAACGAGAATTATCGTCATCACTACTGTTTCCGTCATCGCTAGTATCACCTTCTTTGAATAATGCGTCGTCTTCTGTTCTGTCAAGAGCAACACTGATTCCGCACTTCTTAAAGGACTTAACAATTACTTCAGCCTTTACCTCCTCCCAAGATCTTTCACCCACTCGCACACTAGTGAAATAGAGGGCCGCTTCATTCTACCTGAGCGTGTGATGTGGCTTTCCTATCCACTTGTTCCATCGTTCTCGCACTTTTTCCTTAAATGGCTTATTCACCGATACATCTAAAGCCTGCAATTGGCTAGTCAGTCCACCAGGAATGACAGCTGTCTTGGTTTTTAATTCTCTTGCTTTATTCTTTACGGTTTCAGTTCTATGGGCACTAAACTGATCCAAAACCAAAAGAGAGGGTTTTCTTAAAAGTCCACCAGGTCGCCTCGCCCATACCGAACTACAGTTTCATTCCAGCTTCGTCCATCCAGCCTTTCGGATGAACAGGAACAATTACACGCATTGGAAGTTTTTCTTAACTACAGTTTCATTCCAGCTTCGTCCATCCAGCCTTTCGGATGAACATGAACAATTACAAGCATTGGAAGTTTTTCTTTCGGATGAGTTTCTTTTGAATATGAAAAACGGTGGTAGTTTTGTGCCATCAGCACAACATATTAGAACTACCGTATATCGGGTTTTTTTCATAACCTGTGGTTTTTATGGTTATTACTATTGATTTAGACCCTTTAATACTCACAGTCTCAAAAGCTCTGACCTCAAAAGAAGTTTTCTTGCGTGCATTTATAACAAACCTACGAAATGCTAGTATTTTTTCTACATAATCTGCTGGCATTTTCTGTGCAATAGTTTTTTTTTTTTTTTTTTTTTTTTTTTTTTTTTTTTTTTGTGTGTGTGTGTGTGTGCACTGATAAGCCTTGCCTTTTCATGAACCTGTAGCACCAGCCTGAAAAGTTCTGATTCCCGTGTTTTTCTGCAAATCCTTTGGCCTCATTGATTACAATTTTGGTTGAAACACTTATCCCAGATTTCTTCTTATCCATCACCCACATTTTTACGGCATTTTCAAGTTCAGGCCAAGATGGAGCTGGGCATCGAAGGTTATGTTTTTGTATTTTAGCAGCGTTCAGTTGATCTTCCTGCAGTCGCCAAGTACGTATCATTTTTTCGGTAGGTGGTAGACCGAAATGCCTTGCTGCTGCTCTGTTTCCATGCACTTGGGCGCAGTTTAACTCTCCTAGTTTATACTGAATTGTATAGCTTAATCTCTTGTTCCCAGTAGTCATATTTTCCAGGGTATTTTTTTAAAACAAATAGTTTTAAGCACCGATACCGACACGTGTGTCGGCTGAGTCAAAGAAAGTCTATGTAAAGAAGGAAAGACTCCATAGACGTAATGTCACTGTCGAACCTGTTCGAACTTCGACATCAGCTTCGAGCTTTGGCGCTTTTTTGGCGACAGATATTTCCCGCATGCGCAAAATAATTATGGCAGATGTAGAAAAAGTTATGTGTGTCTAGACCTTTATCCGGGATAAAAATAGCATTCAGTATTGAAAGTTAACCTGTGTCCTTCACGTATAAGACGCAGGTAACTTTTATGAGACCAAATTTAGGGAAAAAAGTGCGTCTTATATGCCGTCAAATACGGTATTTACAATTTTATATCACATATAATAAAAGTATGAGGTGACCTTGATAAAATTTTATCATAAAAGAGACATGTAAGAAAAAGAAATAAGAGAAATATTCCCTTCTGTATAGGATACAAATGAGGAAACCAATTGTTTAATAATCAAATATTTAACAACAGGAAAAAATTTTGAGAAATATTTTCCACTATTAAATACTCAAGATTCAATATGATAAGAAATCTGTTTCTTTCTTGTGATTTCCCCCCCCCCTAACCTGAATGAAGAACTGACATCAGCACTCTCTTCATATCTTGGATTAAAACTTAAGTTTGTTGAAAACACTCTCTGAAAAGTTCTAAATTTCTGCTTAACCCCTTGGGTACATTTGACGTCTGAGACACGTCATTCACTTTTTCTCCCCTAGGAGCGGATGACGTGTCTCAGACGTCAAACCAAAAATTAAACTCTTGGGTACATTTGACGTCTGAGAGACATCATTCACTTGTTTTCCCTAGGAGCGGATGATTCACAAACTTAGAACGAAACATTCAAATGCTGATTTGATAAACACAGGCAAAAGGAGAAAAAATGAAGGTGGTGATAGCGAAAATATTATAAAACCGGCATCAGATATGGCCTTTTATAATGCTTATGTTTTATATCCTTTCGTTTAGCTATTGCCGAAGAATTGCTTGAGCAATTGTCATTGCCAAATTATAAGCATTGTGGACGCCCGTCAAGTAGCGATACACCATTTCGTTTGGCAGCGAAAAATTGGGCACACTTTCCTGAGAAACATTCCTTCAACTAAGTCCAAGTAACATCCTGGAAAAAGGGGCCGTGTTTGTTATAAGCATCATATTACGAAAGAGACTACGTGGCTGTGCAAACAATGCAAAGTAGCACTGCATTTACTTACTTGCTTTGAAAAATTTCACACTCTGCATAATTATTAGTAATTTTATTTTTTTTTTTTTTTTTTTTTTTTTTTTTTTTTCAATTCTAGTTACTTCAAGACATTTTAATACTACATATGTCACCAATATTTTAGAAATGAATAAATTCTTACGTAAAATGTACTGCTTTTGCATTCTACTCCAAGCAACCAAAAATTATATCCGTTCCACATGTAAATATTTTCTCAAATCCCTACCCAAAGGGTTAAGATGTATAATCAGGTCTAGCAAAAAGAGCGCTAAACGGAGTCTGGCCATCATATAAATATGATAGAGATTATATAGTGGCATGTTAAAGCTACATTGCCTACTTATACAGTACAAAGTCTGTAATCCGGACGTTCATTATGCGGAATGATCTATAATCTGGACCTCAAAGCCACAGACTTTTTTTTTTTTTTTTTTGTATGCTTTACGCGTTTAATGTATAACAGACGGTATAAGCTAGGCTTAAATTATCTTTGCTGATTCTAACGCATTCTAATTGGATCCGGCTTATTATTTTTTGCAGACTGTTAGAGCAATTTTACAAAAATTAAGCTTGAACTTTCGATTATGTCAAAAAGAGTTCCCGATTCTGGAGCTGCCAAAGGATCTACAAAGCGAAAGCATGTTTCGATATACCGCTTCCGATAGTGAAGAAAGTGACAGAGAGGTTATTGAAAACGAAAAAATTTTGATTGACAAGTTAGTCAGTATTCTCAGCACAGCAATTACAAAACTTGAACAGTGGAACTTTGTAACTGAACAAGAAATTATTTCTGTTTATAGAATTTAAGAGAAAGTATTAGCACAGAAAAACGAAGCAACTTAAACAACTTACATTGAAAGAAATGGGCTAATCTTTTGGATATGGTAACAGGTAGTTTGGCGACATTTTGGTAAGGCGATAAAGGTTACTAGCTAGGACTTTAGCAGTGTACATGGATAAAGTCAAACTGTGCGCAATGCCATTTTTGGGCAATTCTGGGATGTTTTTTTGAGTGAAACTAGGTCGACGCGTACATGGTTACCGTGTATGTGCAATTCTTAAAAACGCGGCAAGCAGTTTGCGATTCTGCACTTTCTCCCAATTTCGCACCTAACCTTCGTCATGATTAAGCACTTTTGTTCCATAAAAGTTCTAGCATAAGCGTAATTCAGCTAGCAGATTCTTGGAAAGAAATGTTGAGTAAAAAAAAAAGCCTTTACTTCGTGAAAACAAAATGGCATCCAAACAAAGACTAGCAGGTTGCTGTAGCAGGGTTGGTCGCCAAATTTTCGCCAAAAAATCGCCGAGTTACCATAATCCAAAGATTAACCAAGAAATGTTTAATAGAGTAAACAAATAAATATTAAGCTCTTTTTTTGTAAATTTTGATACCCTTTAGATCATAATTTCTCTTCATGTCTTAAATTACAGTTTCACATTTTTAATTGTATAATTTCTGCATGCCATCTTACCAGATTTAAATTGATGAACTATAATCTGGAATCGCCGAAGCCCCGACGAGTCCGGATTACGGATTTTGTACTGTAATCGGAAATGCGATTTTGAGTTTTATTTGGTGGTTTATATGTTTTTCCATCACTGTTCTGAAACAGGAGAAGATCCTTTCGACAAGTCTGTGGTGAAATTGTTTTGGTGATGTTTGAAATTGATATTTCTTCTGTTCGAAGAAGCATTCATTCATGGTAAGTGAGTTTTATTTTATTGTTGTTCTTATTTTGTAGAATGTTATGTTCATTGTTTTTTATAGCATGAATTTCTGTTTTTTTTTAATTGTTTTTAATTTATTTTAGTTTATTTTGTTGATTAGTGTTATGGAAAATTGTTATGTATTATTTGTTGTGTACAATTATTATGTATTTTTTACTGTACATGTTGTATTCTTAGTTATTATATTATTTTACTGTGTTTAATGAATTTGTATTGTTATTTTTGTAGAATTAATGGTTAATATTTAGGATTGTTTAAACTCTGACTTTATTACGGCAAAGCTCCTTAGCTGAAGATGTTATTCAGAAAAAAAGGCGAGGCTTGTTACTTCCGTTTCCCAAGAAGCGGTCAATTGCGGCCAGCTGCATTTTCCTTTTCGGAGGGTTGGACACACGTGTTTTGCTCATTCAGAGGCGAATAGTTCTAAGGGTCGGCGATTTTTTGACAGAGTTATAGGTTGGTAACATTCCTCTTTGCGTGGGAAAGAAAAGGTCTGTCATCTTGCTGAGAGTTCTGAATTTTTCTTGGAAATTTAGTAATGGTTTATTATTTGGCTGTAGTTGGCTAGAGGGGGTCCAAGTTTCTTTAAGATTGGTTAAATTTTTTATTTTAGTGTGGTTTGAGCCAATAGTGATTTTGAGGCGTTTCTTAGTGAGTGTCAACCGAGTTTTCTTAAGCCGTTACAAGGGAGAAGAAGAGAAGATTTTTGCGAGGTTTTTGTGAGATTTGGTCCAGTTTTGATCGACTTTGAGAGGAGTGTTACCCGGGGACTCCTTAGGGGCAACCGTGGTTATGGGTAATATTGGTGATCTCCGTGGCACTGGCAGCGGGGACAGGTCCGAGATCGTCGCGGGCTCCTTGCGGTTAAATTTCGGCATAATTAGCAAAAGATCTGGGGCTAGGTTTAGCGTCTTAATCATGTCTCTGACGTTTTCCATGTGTGGAAGAGCTGAGTCTGAATTGCCTTGGAAAATATGGAAAAAGAGAGAAGTCATCATCTCCTGTTGTCAATCTCCTTTTTTTATTCCTTTGCAGCTTAGACTGTGCAATTCATAGACGTTTTAAGTTTAAACAGAATGGTGTGTACATGGTATTCTTTGAAATGTATTTTTGTTATGTTAATTTATTTAAGCTAGGTGTTCGTAGATTCCTTCGCTGCATAGACTGGGCAATTCTGCGATTTTTTTTTTAAGTAAAAACATATCGCTGTGTACATGCATTCTTGTGAAATATATTTGGTTAGAAACTTTACATTTTCGCTATCTAAATTTTTTATTTTTGTTTCAGATTTTTTGCTTAAATTGTGTTTTGAAAATGTGGTTTTTGCACGTGCTAAAACCTTGTTTCTCGTGACATTTTTCGCTTAAAGTTTGAAATGTAGATTAAAAATTCAGATAGCAATATTTGGCGAGAAATTTGTCACCAAGCGAGGGTGTATATAAGAGTAGTTCCACTATAAAAATGCAGGGGCGTAGCTAGAGGAGGGCAAGGGGGGCATCTGTCCCTGGGCGCAGAATCCAAGGGGCGCCAAACTAATGTTACGGCAATTTAGAATTAAATGTTTTCCATCCTTGGCAAGCAGTACGGGGTGCGAAATCTTCTGTTGTCCCTGGGCGCTGAAAACCCTAGCTACCACTCTGTATAAATGTGACCACTTACAGAAACAGTTTTATGAGAGAGAGAGATGTGTACTCTGGATGTAATCCATCAACCAAATAAGTGAATAGGTGTCTTTGAAAAAATTGTGAACATACACAAAAATCTGTTCATACAGAGAAAAAAAACTAAAGCTGGCATAATTCTTCAACAATACTGGAGAGTTGACAAGTTATGCAAAGAAACTGGGAAATTCTTTCTCACTTAGGTTCATATATCCACACTAATTTCAAAAATTATCAACCATCTACAAGAGGGAATGTTACTCAAACGTCTGGTGAGCATATAAAAGACTGGAACTAGGAAAAACAGCTTTTATTTAGGATTTCATTTTGTTTATCTAACAACAATCTTGGCTACTAAAAAATTTTTTTTTCATCCTTCTGATAAAAATTTTACCTACTACATCTAATTTCTTATAATTTACATTTGCATTTCTAATATTCAAAGAGTTAAGTATCATATAGTAATAAAAATACACACTGTTAATACATGAGAGTACATACTTCAAATATATAAGCTATCATACAACAAAGCAACATAAAAGTTCCATCTTATATAGTAAATGACGAAGATTAATGGGTTATTATGATGCTGTTACCAATAAATATTCAACGTATTATCCCTATCTAGATCAATGACTTCTAACATGCAATAAATGCCTCTATCAAGGTTTTACAAATCAACATATACATTAAAAATTTACATCAAAGCCCTACAAAGCAATTCATTCTTCCCAAAATATTAAACAATTAAAATCATTAAATAAAAGAAAAGTTACACATTTTATCAAAATAATAATTATCGTACTTTTTGTTTAAAAAAAAAACGCTGATTACACTATCAGATAAAATCAGTACCAAAGATTACGGAATTTTCTGATAAATGAAGAATTATAATAAAATAATTATTTTTAATATGAAAATAAAGATTCTTACTTTTTAGAACTTTACATTAATCTTACTTTTTAATGAACTATGTTTGTCGTTTTAAAACATAAATATACCCCTTTAAGGGCAATGCCAATGATCATAAGCTACACAGTGCCTATGGTTCAAAACAGACTGAAAGGGACTTTCCCGTGTTTATCGCATTTAAAAGACACACACTGTCAAAGTGTTGCCAAACTTCGTAAACGTAACATACAGATGAAAAATAAGAGTACTGAGTTATACTCCGTGTCTTCAACAAAAAGGCGCCGAGTATGTAGTTATAAAACCTGTTCTCCTTCTTCTTATAATCAGGTCAGATCCATAAGTTCATTCGCTTTCATAACTTTCAACCTGAAATTCAGCAATTCTTCAACAGATCTTCATGCACCAAGGCATGTTTTTCATGATTTTTACTTTTGGTGCAAGGCATTAATGTTTTAGTACCACTAGAATATCTGAGAGTCCTGAAGTCAACCGAGCCAGAGCCCCTTTAGTCTTTCTTGTTCACCCTTGAAACCAACAGCAGTACCAGGACCTGCACTACCATAACAGGAATGTGTCGGTAGATGTCTCCAGCAATTGTAGGCCTTTCTTCTCGAATATACTTCAAGGTATAAATTTAGAATTCAAACAACACAAATCAGCGTCATATTCGCTAATTTTCGTAGGACTAATTTCAGCATCCTCAGCTGCCAAACGCAAATGAACGAGATAAGATATAATGATTAGATAAGAACGGCTGGGCAACAGTTAGATTTCGAGGATGGACGCCAACGAGGTCCGACCTATATATGTCTCCTTAAATCGCTTTATACAGCGACTTTCGGTTAACTTTTTCAAAAAGATTCATTCGATCGGTAACGCCGTTCTCCATTTATTGCCTATTTATCATCCAGAAATTGCGTCATTTAGAAAAAGACACAGAGCCACACTGGAAAGCGCATATAATGCATTACCATTACTTAGAGGCATTACCATTAGAGGCGTTGCTATGGAGACGAGGTGCCTCAAAGCTATCACTCAACTCGTTCACTGATCCCCCCCCCGCGCTTCAGCGAATTCGCTGTTCTTTCAGCTTGGCTCAAGGTTCCGTAATCGGGCAATTATTATTTCTCTCAACCGTAGGTGGTTGTAACTTAGGGGTAAGCACCTCTTTGTTCCTTGTTAAAAGGCTTCTTGTGCCCAGATATTTCATTTAAATTCAGTCTCTTAAAGGGAATAATTAACATAAAATAAAAAATCTTTTAACTTATTACTATTATATCGTAACACAAGGTACTAATTTATTGACCTCATGTTTCTCCTCAGAGGCAGTTCTGACTTTGTCTCTTTAAACCTGACTCGCCTAACGAGTTCCCCCACCCCCTTTCCTTCCCAGACCCGAATCACTTGCGACGTGAATGACCTCTCGCGAGTTGTTCCTTTTTCATGTTGTTAACATCACAAGATCATGGATGAAGGAAATATCGAATCTTTTCAAAATTCATGATGTAACCCTTCAAAATCGATTCTAGCCCTATTAGATCTCAAAATTACTTTTTTTTCTCACTGTGGAAGGCAGTTTACCTTTTGTTATTTTGACAATTCGACACTAAATTTTACTTCTTTGCCGAACTCTCTTTCTGATGATAATTATTTAAGCTTTGATAATGTGGGGATAAAGGCATTGAGCCTATGAGCCTCGTAATTGAACCCTTCCTTGATCCTTGATTGGACAACAGTTAAGTTACTGGTGCCATCTATTGATGAAACGAGAACTAAAACATAATTTTCTTAAAGGCTGAAGGCAAAGATGGATTGGAATTAGGGTCGTTAATTACAACAGAAAGACTTTTTTAAAAAAATAAAACCCCTCTAGAAAATCTAATTCACCAATGAAAGATATTTTTTGATTTTTTGCTGCAGAAAAATTGAAAGCATGATTTTCGGACCAACAATGCTCGGCAACAGAGGACTTTTGTGTTTCTTTTTTCTAACATATGTCTCATGTTCCTTAACACGAAATTTTAAGGCTTTCTTAGTTTCGCCAATGTTAAACCGCACTGGCAAGGAATCCTGTACTACCCCAGGAATTCATATCCGGAATGGGGTCCTTGAGTATGGAACTCGGAATTTTATTGATATGAGAATGAACGAGGCGAAAGTTATATTTCTGTAAAATAAGTGCAATTTAATAGCTAACTGATGTAAAGAAAGGAATGACAACAGAATTCTTATGATGTCCTAAAACAAGAGTGTGCTTTTTGGTTTGTTGAGATAAAAATTTTTTAACTGCTTGATTAATAATGTTGGATGAAAAGCTGCTGCTTTTAAATAATTTAGTTCTTGATCAAGAGAAAATTTGGATGAGCAAATTTGAAGTGCACGCTTGTAGCATAGCTATAAGAGTATTGAGTGGGAGACTTGTCGCTTAAGAACAAGAAGTCTCTATCATGAATATTTAATAGTTCGGTACCATTCTCATTGTTGGTAGAACTTCCCCCATAAAGTATTTTTGGCATTCAGATCTCTCAATAGAACTCTTCATCTGAAACAAATGATAAGCCATCATACAAATTTCTCCCATCAGGTGGTAAGTATACATTAAAAATGTTTTTGTCTCACCATTCCATTCCAATTTTATTGATATACCTTGCATTTCCAGATCATTGTCATTTTGAAGTAGGTCAAGATCAATAGCTTTATAACTGAAACGCATTAATAATGTCGGGCCGCCTCCTCCCTTATTCAATCTATCTTTACGACGTATACGATAATTTCTTAATTTAAGTTGGTAAGTAGGTTTAAGTTTAATTTCTTGTAGTGCAATAATTTGCACTTCATGGTGATCATCTAAATCTATAATTTAGTACACTTGGTATTCTTTGGTATTCTTGTGACATAAGTAGAGAGACCACTGATATTGCACTGTAATATTCTCAAAGGTTTGACGAGTTTAATTCTAGTTGGAGACTGTAGCAGACTTTTCGATCTGGGCGCTCTTCCTATTGCGTCCCTTATTTACCCACGCGACAGACGATGCGGTATCAGATAAGATAGGTGATCTAATCATGGACAAAGGTAGAGAATGAGCAGCTACTGTTAGTACAAAGTACTCTGAGCACCCGAAGGTAGAAGATTGGCTCTGCTCTTACTTACTTAAGACTGACTTAGTGCCTTCTAAGCATTAGCTGAGCATAAAGGAATGGCCTCCATGCTTAGGTTGGTCCTATCAGGAGTAAAAACTCCCGACGTACTTCGCCCATTCTGCTCACTACCCCTCCACGCTATGATGAGGCTGCAAGGCAGGACTTGGAGGAGGAAAGGAAATTCCCGACGAGGATGAGATTCGAACATTCGCAGGCAGAGCCCGATGGATCAGCAATTCGTCACCTTAACCACTCAGCCGACTCGTCAACACAAAAACTTACAGTCTTGATCTTCTACCGTAGGTAATGTTCGAAGGCGACCATTTGATTCCTTTAAGGATGTAGGCGATATTTTATAATGCCAGCGGAAGTAAATATCGTATAAGGAACAGAAGGTACAGAGAAAGTGAAAATATATAAAGAACAGGGAGGGGATTAAAAAAGTACGTATTTATTTTTGTTTGGTAACAAATTTTCTGATTTGGTTCTGTTATCTAGCTAAATTAATATTAAAAGTCAAATACTGTGCATTTTTGACAAAAAAGTAGGGCAATTGCTTCTGGATCGAATTTAATATAATTATTAATCAATCATATTCATATTTGCGCTAGTATGGTTTACAAAAGCATTAAGAACAACTAGTTACTCTTGACACATATTTCTGGATGTTTAAAGATTTTACAACTTTTTTCGATCTGAAAACATAAATACACTCTTAGACAAAAAAATCACCCACCACGACGCACCGAGAAGATATAAAGCAAATTGGACACAAATTGATATGCATACAGGTTTCAACGGAAAATGCAAAATTTTACATTTTGGTTGCAATGAATGAACGGTTGTCGCTACAGCGCATCTGATCTGTGCAACTGGCAGGATATTTAAGAGGAGAAATTACGATTCCAGGTCATTAAATTGACGACTACCAGAGTACACGGAATGAAATTCGAGAATTTCATTCCGTGTACTCTAGTAGACAGTAACTATGCCTCGCATACAGGTGCGCGAACGATATGCGCAGATGTCAGAATTTGAGAGAGGTCGTGTAGTTGGACTCAAAGAAGCCGGTTGGTCTTATCGGCAAATAGGAAAATACCATAACGCAAAGAATGCAAAAACAGCAATTATAGTGACAGACACCAAACTACCAGTATGTGAGATATATAGCGACCCATTAGCGGTAGCTATAAGAATAGAAACCACAAATCCGTTTCTGATAGTATCAGCCTACGGTCCACCTTCCCAAGAATTGGATGGACTCCTCACCATACTCCAAAAATTAATTATGGAGAGCGACTTGCCAGCAATCATATGTGGGGACTTTAATGCAAAGCATCCCATATGGAGCCCCTCTCATGCAGAACCCAGAGGCATAAAGGTCTGCATTTCTCGCAGCCACGGAGCATATAATAAATGACGATAAGACATTCACTTCGCAGGGCGAGAGCCTGGGTTACTCACCTCATAAGAAACATGAAACCAATTCGAACTAGAATAGACGACAGTGAAAGGAAGCGACCACAACAAATCCTCTTGGTACAGTCGGCCACAAAGTATTCGAACACCGGTACCCATTCAGAAAATTTACTTTTCCGTTGAGAAACAAAATTGTCTCCAGAGTCTATCTTGGTTCGATAGACAAAAAAAAAACAAAAGGATGGCTCATGTCCAAAATTGGCTAGGTGCATGAAACAAAATACAACATGACCTATCTGGGTGAGATGGGAAACAAAATGGCTGCTCACGTAATCCATTATTGCGCTCATAGAAAACGCAAAGTGTCGCTGCGGCTCGTCTCGGTTCGCGAAGAGTGAAAACCCAAAACGGTCTGCAGTGTCTATCTTTGTTGAATGAGAAAACAAAAGGATGGCTCATGTCCAGTTTATTTAGGTGTGGGAAAACATATAACGTGACCTATCTGGATGAGATGTCTCCAGCGATCCAGTATAGACTTTTTCCCCATCTGCAATAGATGACATCTATAAACAATTCCATTGAAATCTCCTCGAAATATAAGAAACAGCTAGCT